CTCTGATTACAAAGAAAACCAAGGTTTTTAAAAAATATTCTTCCCTAGCCAACTCGCCGTTTTCCCTGTCTTCCAGAGGTATCGCGGTAACAGAAGTTAGTCCTCAAACATCGCGAGAGCATTTCACTCTCGCTTCACTGAGCGAAGGCCGAGGATTGGCCAATCAGGAGGAGGGGGCCTCACCGCGACCAGCCCCCGTTGCCGGGAGACGCGAAGGCAAGCGGCCACTAGGGGTTAGGCCTTGAGGGCCCAGGAAAGCTGCGCGCAGGTGAGCGGGGCGTCTCGGGTGAGCTAACGGGTTCGCGGGCCCGACTAGAGGGCTACGCGGTGGTGGAGGGCTCGGAAAGAAGTGCGAGTGCCCTTGAGTCGTGCGACTTCGCTCTTTCCGCGCCCCGCCGCGGAGCGACCTCCCTCCTTCCGCGCCCTCAGCGCTGGCGGAGGTGAGAAATCCCGATCCCTCTTTGCCTCCCTTGCCGATTATTTTAGCCTTGGAGATGCTGATGCGCTTCAAACAAAATAAATCCAGCTCTTAGGTGTTCTCCTCCGCCAAGGAAGTTCCATTTATAGTCCGGCAGAGCGTGAGGGGAGACCTCAAACAGTCCCTTGTGGAGACCTGCCAAGGCGAGACCAGAGGGAACGATTCGAGCGCCTCAAAGATAAAGTTCACTGTGGGCTGAGGGATTTTACGCGAAGTAATAATAGATTTCTGTCTGTTGGTCAGAGCGGAAGGGACTTAGCAACTTTCCACTTCTTCCTATATGTTAAAATGGTTGATTCGGGGAGGATAATGATTGTAATAATTAGGAGCCAGATGTTTCATGTGAAGTATCTGGAATCGTCACAACGGCTGTGCAAGCTAGAGCTCGCTTCCACACTGCAGATAGGGAAACACGTCCAGAGGGGATAATATGGCAGGTAACTGACGGAGCTCCGTTAGCATCCCTAAACTTTCTGGAACCTCTCTGGTTGTGTGAATAACCCCAGCGATTGTGTGAACATTTGAATGACTAACCCCGGAGTTAGTGGCATATTTGTTACTAGTGCCTCTCCCTTTTATTTTACCCGGTGGAACTGATCTAATGCTAACTAAACTTCTTCCACGACAGTAAAGCAGTGGCAAAGAAAATCAGGTGGAAATTCTATATATCGTACATTTTCTTAAAGTTCCTCAGGAAAGCTGGATTAACACTGACTAATTCTGTTGGAAACAGGTTTATTGTATTAGCTTTCTCTGGGAGAAACCGTTTTGACCACAGATCTTGTCTGCCTTTCAAAAAGTTGTTTCATGAAACTCTCTTTTCTATTTGCAATAATAATAGTAGTAATTTTACTACTTTGTCCGAAAAGTTCAAAACGGCAAGAAAATATAATCACGGAGCTAGTTGGAATGGGAAGGTTGTAAGTTTGGCGTGAACCTATTAAATATAAAGTGATAATGGGATATCTGAATAGAAATTCCCAATAAACAGTTGAAAACTTAGAATTGGTGCCCAGTTTAAAGGACAGAACAGGAGATACTGATTTATGAGTAAACAGCCTAGTTCAAGTTATAAGAAAAGGATGAAATATTATGGAGAGACGAGAAGTAATCCAAGTACTGATCATGAATGATGCTAAGGAAAGCCAGGGAAGAAGTACTGGGCATGGGCTATAGAAACCGAGAAACCATTTTAGTTCGAGAAATAATTTAGTTCCTTTTTAATAATTTAGTAAATTTTTGTAACTGGCAATGCCTTCATGTGGGAGGAAATTCAGACGGTACAAAAGAACAAAGTTTTTGCCTGGCCCTGAGATATACGCTGGAGATATAAAGATATGAAGCTCTTGCCTTCAAGGTAGAGAAATACTTAAGCAGATTATTTCAATTGGTGTGATAGGTCCTGGGACAGAGATGTGTATGGATCCATCGTAGCATTTAGGTCAGCCCTGTAAATTCAAATTGAAGAAGGTGGGGGTGGTTATGGTCTGGTCATTGAAGGATTCCTAGGGAGGATAACAGGCAAGATGTATGTTATGCAAGGGGACCACTCAGGAGGCCAGTATAATAATCCACTTGAGTCCATGAGCAGTACTATAGAAATGGAGAGGAAGTTAGATTTTAAGCATTTAGGCATACAATCAGTAGTATTATTTCATTAGCTATGGGAAATGAAGGAGAGGGAGAAATCAAGGACTACATTTCTGACTTGTGTGGCTAGAAGTTGGTACCAAGAGGAAGAGCAAATCTGGGGGAGATGACAATGAGTTTACATTTAGATATATTTATTTTGAAATACTGATGATATATTGAAGTGGAAATGTCAAGTAATTATTTGGATATAAACACCTTAGAGTGTGAGAAGTCAGGACTGGAGATACGGTGTTGTGAGTCATTAGCTTATTGTTAAAACCCTGAGTGTAGATGAGGTGGCACAATGAGAGCTTAAAGAGGAAAAAGAAAAATAGACTGTGGATGATATCTTGAGAAATGCTGCTAATAAAGGCAGGTAGAATAAGATGGAGACTGAAAAAGGAGAAACAGAGGAGGGGAGTGTCACGGAGATGGTTTCATGTAGGAGTGGACACCAGTAACAGAGAGATGACATTTACATTCCTAGCTGCATTGGCAGGAACCATTTGGATGGAATAGTAGGAATCCAGGAGATAGAGGAAGTGGAAAAAGTAGAGAATAATGGATATAAGCTATTTTTTAGAGTTTGCCTGTGTAGAAAAAGGACATATAAGACTGTATTAAAGGTGGTTTCAGGATCAAGAAATTAGTTTTTAAGGTTAGGAAAGAATGGAACATTATAACAGACTGAAAGAAAGGAGAAAGTTTAAAGACATACGTAAGAGCTGGATAATGCCCCAAAGGAAATTGGGGCAGGGGTGAGGGAGAAGGAGGTTGCTAAGGAGAGGGAAGCTAATGTCCCAGAGGTATGGGATCAAGAGGTTAAATCAGAATAGAGACTGATCTTGAATGAAAGAAAGGATGGCTATTGAGATTGGAGGTCAGGGTGGATATAGGAAAGTTTATGTGCTCCAAATGTGATAGATTTCATGTCTTAATTTTCTCAATTATGAAATTGAGTTATCTGCTGAGAGTGGCAGGAACAGACTTAATTAGAAAAGTGGTTAAGAATTGGAATCATCAAGGACGGAGTAGCTTATAAAGGATTAATAAAATAATTTCTGAGATGAGGGTCCATCTAAATTTGGTTACTATGGCTTTGCAGTTCTCCAGTCTGTATAGTCTTGGGATTTCCATCAACAGTGTTCAGCAGTCCAGGTTGAATGTAGAGAATGGTTTCTGATTTTGCCAGAAGGGTTGAAGAAGAGTTCGAGGATGCAAATTTGTTGATGGTGCTCCTGAGACAGTAATTTAATATTGAGAAGGAAAGGAGTCCTTGAAACTGACCTCCTCAAGGTCACTAATGGTTTCTTGGATGGGGATTCCAATGGACATTTCAGTGTTCATCTTACTTGAATTCCCAGCAGAAAATGGCATTGACCATTCCTGCCTTTTCTTGGCATCTCTGACACACACTCCTGGTTTTTTGTTTGCTTTCTGAGTCTTCGTTTTCAGTCTCATACTAGTTTCTCCTCTTCTGTGCAATCTCTAGGTATTGACATTCCTGAGGCCAGAGTCTTGGGCACTCTTTTTCTCCATATTCTCTCTCTAGTTCAGTATCTTTAAAACTCTTTTGAACATGACCTATAATAGGACATATATTTTACATTATAGACCAGTATACACATATGTGTAAATTTATATAAATATAACTGAAAAAGAATTTAATGAAACAGTACTCTTCCTATGTGCAGTGAACTCCCTTGTATTTTCTATTTTATTTCATATTTAAACCATATTGGTCATAACCTGCTAAATTGTTTTCATAAGCTACTAATAGGTTGTGACCCATAATTTTAAAATGCTATTTTAAATTATTAGCCCAAACTTTAAATAATAATATATTCTGATGAGTAAAGGAGGAGGCTGGTAAACTGGGAGAGAATGAGTGAATAAAGGAAATAGTTTAAGGGGAGGTGTAGTGAGAATAAAGGTGAGAAAAAGGTAGAAGGAGAGGAAATTAACGCCAGAGAATAAAGTGTTTCAATTAAGATATTTGAGATGAAGCAATTCCAGATGATGACAAGCTCCAGCTCTGGCCATGGCTATGAATGACTAAAATAGAGTTGAAATAATTATTGAAATTTAGGTCAGGGAACTGTGAAGCTAGAATGTTACATATTGAATCCAGTATCCATATGGAAGTCATCCAGGATGTTGGTGGTACTGGAATAGAGGACTGTGAACAAAAGACTAGTAAACATGGGGGAGAGATTAGGAGGTCCCTAGATAAAAGCAACCAAGAAAGATGCAAGGCAATATAGTTGCATTATTTGGTCCTCAAAGGAAGAGAATCCTGTTTATTTTTTTAAAAACTTGGAAGAATAATGTTTTGACAGTGACATTGTGGAGCAAGGAGAGTGCGGTGTACTCCTTTGCTTTGGAATTGTGGGACAGGAAGCTAAAACAGCCTTCACTACCAAAAGCATTTTCAGGAGAAGACGGGAACCTGTTAAGGCAAAGTGTAAAAGGAACTACTTATAATAGGATTGAGAATATAAAGGAGTTTATTATAGACCAGAACTCACAGAGAAAATATCGGCAGAGAAGAAAGATACTGGTTTTGCCGGGAGAGAGAAAGCTTACTAGAGTATGGGATGAGAGTCCAAGAGAGAAAGATATCTAGAGGGGCTTGCATTTTGATAAGATAACAGGGAAATGAGGAGGGCATGTTGTAATAAATGACTTCATGGTTCTAAATAGAACATTAATGTCAAATCTGAACAGAATTAAAGCAAGCTCAACCTTGTACGTAGTGATACCTGCAATGGCAATTTGCAAGAAAAGTCATCATGGATTAAATGTTTGAAGGAAGGGTATGCAGGTCACTACTATCTTGCTACAGAAGATACCAAAGGAGACCTATTCCTTGTTTCCAAACAGTGGTTAAAGTGAGCAAGCAATGGCCAGTAATCACAAACTTTCAGCAGCTCGGCCTGTTTCTCGAGGTGGGATTGGATTGACAGGAAGGCCTCCTTCTGGAATACGGCCCCCATCAGGAAATATTCGAGTGGCAACTGGAGTAAGTTTAAAACAAATAATTGAATTATTATGCATATATCCTGGTAGAATTTGGAAAGCTTGTCTATAATAAGAGATTCTTCTTTGTTTTTCTTTATAAAGAAAACATATTATTATATAAGTATGTTTTTTGGAAAACATCTAGAAGTATAAATGTGGGAGAATGTTTGAAAGACACTGTTATGAGAAAGAGGCCTGCTCATGCTGATATTCAAATTTATTTTAAAGCTACAATAATTTAAGTGGTATAGTGTATTGGTGCCAAAACCAAGTGAAATGGAAAAGACCAGAAATGGAATTGGGCATGTAAGAATTTAATTAATGATTAAGGTGACATTTCAAATTAGTTGGAAAAACATGGAGTATTCAGTAGTGCACTCAAATAACTGGTAAACCATTTGTTTTAAAAAACCAAGTCCCTCCCTCACACAGAATTCTAGATATTTTAGAAATTTTATATTTAAAAAATGAAACCATAAATGTATTAGAGGAAAATATGGGTAAGTATTTTGTATAAACTTGGCGTAGGCTAGGCCTTTGTAAAAATAACAGGAAACATCGAGTACTGAAAAGGAAAGTATTTTTATATTTATATATTTGAATTTAAAAAAATTGAAAACATCATAAAAAGGTTAAAAGAAAAATGATAAACTGGTTAAAAAAAAAGTATTTGCAACATATATGTCATACATAGAATTCAGACTCTTAAAATGAAAAAGGAAAGTTTACTCATTTGTAAAAGCTCTTTCTGTATTAAAGCTATAAATCCTATGTCCAATCAAAATTCCTTGAGATTTCTCTTGGGGTAGAGGAAGGAATATCATTGTAAAACTATTCTAGCATTCACTTAGAACGGTACAAAGGCAAAAATAAGAAAAAGTACAATACTCTAATATAAAAATATAAGAAGTAAAACAGTGTTCTGGTTGCTACAGCAGCCTAGAAACAAACTCTAGTAAATGTTAAGAGCTTAATGTAAGATAAATGTACACATTCAGCTTAATGTAAGATAAATCAGTGAATCAGTAAGAGAAACACACCACATTAGAAAGAATTGGTAAACTTTATAAGCTGATAATTCTAAGCAGAATAATATCCTGTAAGGATATTTATTACATTTTCATTATAATTATAATAGTGAAAATTTGAGAACAGCCTAAATGGCCTTACAACAGGTTAATCTTAAATAGATTATGATATGTCTATCCCTATAATCGGCTATTAAGTAGCCTTTAAAAATTATTTTCAAAATATATTTCAGGAAATAATATATCTTTATAGTACAGTATTAAGTGAAAAAAGCAGTGTGGTGTCCGTTTAACATAAAGATATATATATATATATATTTACATTTACATAGAAAGAAATGAATACACCAAAATATTTATAGTTATTTCTCTGATGCTCACAAGAGATGGTTTTGCCTATCTCAAGGTGCGTGTGAGGTACTCAAGCTCGGACGGTAGACTAATTGCAAACTAGAGATAATGTTGGGTCCTGTGTTTAAATCATAAGAAGAGCAGCAATTTTTGGAGGGAATAATTTTGTTAAAGTTAGGTTTTCTTAAAGTTTTAAGATTTTTCTAGAGTTTTAGGTAATATTATCAACATCATCATCAACTTACACTGAAATGATTTTTCTAAAGTCTTCATATATATGGTACTGAGCGAGGGTATCTTTTTCTATTATTCTAAGAGTAAGAATTTATGCTTGTTAAATATTTATAAAAGGAATCTGAAATATATTGGCCACCTACTGTTTGCCAGGTGCTTTAACTAATTTTTGCAGTTACTAAAATAGTAATGCTTGCTGTAAAACATGCAAAGGAAAAGTGTCAGAGTTCCCTCCTTCTACCCCAGGTATAACCATTGTCTAAGGTGTGATGTGTATCCTTCTAGACCTTTTTCTATCCATTTACAAACACTAACACACATCCATATATAATTGTATGGTTTTAGTATTTTCCAAAATGAGGACAGTGCTATATGTATACATTCTTATTTATCTTGTCCTTTTCTTTCAATAAGGTATTGTAAATATATTTCTGTGTGAACACATGAATACCTACTCCATTCTTTTCAATGTGTGCAGTTTTTGTTTTTTTTTTTTGCAGTACGCGGGCCTCTCACTGTTGTGGCCTTTCCCGTTGCGGAGCACAGGCTCCGGACGCACAGGCTCAGCGGCCATGGCTCACAGGCGCAGCCGCTCCGCGGCATGTGGGATCCTCCCGGACCGGGGCACGAACCCCAGTTCCCTGCATCGGCAGGCAGACTGTCAACCACTGCGCCGCCAGGGGAAGCCCTGTGCAGTTTTAATTTATGCTTTCTTCTCTATACTTTCATCTGGTAAATTTTTTTTAAGTGATATAGTTATTTGAGTAGCTGTCATAATTATGCTTGCATAGAGCCAAAGAGGAAATTACTCAGAAGGTTTATCCAAGGAGAGATTTAGCATTCCTTCCCAAAGATCACTCAGGATAATCCTGAACTCATTTCATTTGAATTTGTAGTTGACAGTATTCCTGTATACAATGTATTCTTTGGAATGTGTTACTGTTCCTGGCCCCCATACTCAAATTAATTACCAAGTACTTCTCAGAGTCACTTGAGAACTATGTTAGCTGATAGAATTTGAGGCTACCAGCTAAAAGAATTAAAAACAATCAAAATCAACCAGAATGGTTGTATCTAACCTCTATCTAAAATTTCTACTACATATTTAAATCTACTAGTTTATTCTTTGACAGAGAGTGAGAAAAAAGAAAAGAGGGAAAGGAAGATAAACAAAAGAAGGATATCTTGGAACAGTTTCAGGCTGTCCTTTATACCTTCCCATGCCTGTACATACTATATGAACTGACAAGAAGGGAGTCTTTTGACCTTTCCTCAGGGTGTATAATATTACATTAGATTCTGCAGACCTGAAGTAGAGAATCATGTAGAGTAATAATATGAATGCTTGCTGAATGATGGAAACTCTTTAATACTTATATGGCTATCTTGTGATGTAATTATATCTTTTTTTCTCAAGATGAAAATTTCTTTATTTTTTTCTGATTTTAATGGTAATATATACTTACTGTAATGATGTTGAAAATATGAAATTATATAAAACATAAAATAAAAATGAACTATTATATCATTATATAGGGGTAAACTTTGTTACTATTTTTTAATGTAATCCTCCAGACTTTATTTTACAAAAATGGAATTATAACCATTTCCTATGATTAAATAAGAACAAATAGGTGGACATTTTGCTCCTTTCCAGTTTGGGAGTACTATAAATACATCTACACATAGAATTTTAAATTTTAAAGCAATGTATTATTTAATTATCATAGAATTTTAGAGGTTAATTTTATTTAATATTTCAGACATTTAAAATGTAAGGAAAATTTTACAAATTATATAGAATCTTAGTTTTTTTTAATATTCTCTTTGCAGTCTTAACAATATTAGAGGCACAGTCTTTTTCTTGTTTATTAAAACTGAATCTTGTTTGTCATTTAGATGCCACCTGGAACAGCAAGGCTGGGCTCTCGTGGTGGTCCCATAGGGACAGTAGGAGTTCTGTCCTCTCAAATCAGAGTTGCTGATCGTCCTGTGACACAACAAGGTTTGAGTGGAATGAAAACTGGGATGAAAGGTATCTATTTTAAGAAGATGAGTATATTTTGTACAAGTATTACAGTATCATATTACTAAATCAGAATTGTAGACTGAAAGAGGCTATTTTACTCAATTCTTATTCCTTGATTCACAAAATTGTAAGGGTTAAATAAAAGAATGAATGTGAAAATTCATTGTGAACTAGGGAGTTATATACATATATTAGCTATTTTAATCTTCATTTTTCTTAACATAAAAGTTTGCTATAACTTTTCCTAAATTGAAGTATAGTTGATTTACAATGTCATGTTAATTTCAGGTGTACAGCATAGTGATTCAGTTATATATACATAAATATGTGTATATATACTCCTTTTCAGATTCTTTTCCCTTATAGGTTTTTACAAAATATTAAGTATAGTTTCTTGTGCTATACAGTAGGTTCTTGTTGGTAAACTTTGCTATAACTTGAAGAAATTTGAAATAATTTGAAGAAAAGAAAAGCTCAGGAATAAAAATTAGATTTCTAGTACTATACAGAAATATTCTGAAATACTTTTTTTTTTTTTTGGTTTCTATACCAAAGTTTGGTTTCTTACCACTGGTAAGGTACTTGTGTATTTATGAGTAGTGAATCAAGAATTGTTACTTTTGGTAATAATATTCCATTATAATGCTTAAGTAAGGAAGTGAGGCTAACACATAGATTTATGTACTACATCTCTCATTATGCCTCTCTGTGTTTAGAAAGGCATAATAATATATGTTATGATTCAGAAAGTTGGTCTATAATATATATATAATTCAAAGCACGGTGAACTGTTTTATAATGAGCTTTTTATTTTCTGTATTTGTGCAAATGACTTATCAGGGATGAAGATACTCTACTGGTACAAAATTAATTATAAGATGTCATACTACATTCTGTAATACAGTATATCATGCCTTTCAGGAGACTTAAATTTTCTTACTTGTATTATAATACCCTTAGCTCACTAAATATTAAAAACCAGTTGATTACTGGACTTCCCTGGTGGTCCAGTGGTTAAGACTCCATGCTTACGATGCATGGGGTGTGGGTTCAATCCCTGGTTGGGGAGTAAGATCCTACAAGCTGTGTGGCGTGGCCAAAAGATGAGAAAAAAAAAATTGATTATTTAGAAATGCTTGCTTAATAATTATCAATACTGTGAAGGAAAATGAGTCAAAATTTTGTGGTTGTTTAGTCTTTAAAAATGTCTTCATAGAAGTGTTTATGTTTAATATTATTTAAAAACAAGGGTAGAAACATACTACAATTCTATAGAGAATTCATCAAATTTTATTACTGTATTAATTTCTCCTTTAAAACAGAACCAGTATCATTTAAGATCGTAATTTTCTACTTCAAAGCCTTGTGCGAAAGAGTTCTGATTGTTACCATCATGCACCACTGTCTGCTGTGACTTTTGCTCTTACCTGTTCCAGTTTCTCATTTCCCATTCTAGTGAGACATTCTCTCCCTCTTCTCAGTATAGACCTCAGTCAGTACTCCCTACCCGTTTCTCTCATGCCTTGCAGGGCACTTTACCTCTCTCAAGGTTTGGGACATTTAACCTAGGAATACTTTTTTAGTCCTACTGAAATGTAAGATTATGTTTCTTTCTAAAAAGTCTCTGAAAAAATTATGTAAAATCATAATATCTTGCCTACATTGAGAAATTTGTAGTCTAAATCTGCACTGTCCATTATGATAGCCAATAGGTATATGTGGCTATTTAAATTTAAATTAATTAAAATTAGGTAAAATAAAAATACACTTCCCAGTAGCACCAGCCATATTTCAAGTGGTCAGTATTCCCATGCAGCTACTTTATTGGACAGTGCTGCCATAGAATATTTCCATTGTTGCAGAAAGTTCTTTTGGTTAGCCCTGTTCTAGACCCCCTTAGACCCAGTTTCCATTCAGCCAACCTGACCTGTAGAATCCACTGTTTTTGTTTTTGTTTTTGTTTTTTTGAGTCCATTGTCCTGACACTCTTTGTGGTCTTAATTCAAGCTTCCATTATGTCATGATGCTAAGATATTAGTTCTCTTTTCTATTTCAGTGCTGCTTCCTTATTTTCAGATTTATTGGGGCATTTGTCAGTATTATTAGAGAGCTGTTGAGTGTAATTCTGGTTGTGCTTTGGATTTGCTATTTTGGTGGCATTTTCAAACTGAACACTAATACTTAAAAAAATGTTTTTTAGGTCCCCAGAGGCAAATTTTAGACAAATCTTATTATCTTGGGCTTCTTCGGTATGTTAAATACTTTTTTTCTATGCATGATCATGAAGTTTTAACTACGGTACTTATTAAGATAATTAGGTTGTAAAGCAATTATACTCCAATAAAGATGGAAAAAAAGATAATTAGGTGTCTGTTAATTCCTAAGAATTTTGTATTCTAACATCATTTTTGGTTAATTTGGCTGTAAATAGATGTCATCACAAAATGTGGTGATACAGTTAGGCTGAGGTTTTAAATTTTGTGTATTTGAATGTATGTGAACTATATATTTCAAGTTCACTGTTTTTCATTTAATAATAATAATCTTTTATGCTTCTTTCACTAGTTATTCTGAAATATATTATTCATACATATATGAATAATATATTATTATGTATTAATGATATCTGTATTAATGGTAAAATATATATGCTTATTTATAATAAGCATATATGTATTAATATATATGTATTAATGATAAAATATATATGCTTATTTAATATATTTAGTACAGAGTTTTAAGTAGGTATGTATTTGGTCAGTTGCTATAAATGTGGCCTAATTTTAATTAATTCATAAGCTTTGTTATATATCTCTAAGTATGCAGCTCTAAATTAACTCTTTTCTCTTTCTATACCTACCTTTTTCTCTGCTCAGGTGTCCTACTTTCTTATCTCCATTTTTCCATTACACTTTGTTTTCTTGTTGGCTCATCCTCTATATCTTCTTTCTCTCTGACTTGCATTCCATTTAATGCATCCTTGTATCGTGTCCTGAAAGCTCTGTTTTCTTTCTTAGTCCTTCTTAATTCTTTTGTTGTTCAATTACCTGAATCCTTTTGATTCTCAAACTCCAGAAGGCAATAGGAGAAGGGTAGGTTTTCTCCATCTGTCCTCAAAGTTGACATCAGTAAGAAAGATAGTGAGGCCATCAGTTGAATAGCATCTTTTGATATCCAGCCACTTTTTAATCAAAAGAAGGGAAGGTGATAGAGCTGTTTCTCATCATTGCATTGCCTCTCTTCTCCAGGATTTGTGCTTCTGTATTAAAAAATAGTTTTACCTATTTGTGTAGTTGACTGTAGAGCAGTGGTTCTCAGTTGGCAGTGATTTTGCCCCCCAAGGAACATTTGGCAATTTTTAGACACATTTTTAGTTGTCATAATTAGGTTTGGGGGGTGTGCCACTGGCATCCAGACCAGAGATGCTGTTAAACATCCTACAGTGCACAGAATACCACCCCCCTACCAAAATATTATTCAAAGACCTAAAATGTCAATAGTGCTGCTCTTGAGAAACCCTGTCCTAGAGGGTAGCAAGAGCTGTAAGGGTGACAATTAGGTATCTACTTCTGTCTTAGATTGTACCAGTTTGCCCAGGTTTCCATACCAGTACTGTTTCATCTTTTTTAATAAATAGAGAACCTGTATCAGTTTATCAGTTGGGATATACCTCCTTAATCAAATAAGCCACTTAAATTGTTTTTCTTTTTTTAGTGAAATTTCACAAAACCATTTATATTATTGTTACACATTTATGAAAAGTTTGTTTTGTTTAACTAGAGAGACTGTTTTCTGGATTGGAAGTATTACTGACTTTTTAATTTCTTTTCACTTAGAAGTAAAATAAGTGAACTTACAACAGAAATCAATAAACTTCAGAAAGAAATAGAAATGTACAATCAAGAGAATTCAGTATATTTGTCATATGAAAAGAGGTGAGTAATTTTGCAGTTAAAGTATGCAAGATATGTTTTTATTATGAGTAACATTTAATGTAGTATGTATCAGGAGTTTAATACTGAATTTGTAGTTATACATAATATTCATAATGTTCATCTGCCTATTTCTGTATTTATGAATGTTTTTATTTTATGTTTCCAGAGCTGAGACTTTAGCTGTTGAAATCAAAGAGTTTCAAGGACAACTAGCAGACTACAACATGGTATTTGTTCTTTTCTGAATCTCTTTTGAATATTTTCATTGTTTTTTACCAGTTTAAAAAATGTTATTTTAAATACCAAATAATACATGAATACATGCGTAGTGAGAAAGATTGAAACCATAGAAAGTGTAGATATTAAAGTTTCGCTTTGCTTTCTCCCTCCTTTCCCTCCCCAGAAATAATTTGGCTTAACAGATTGATAAGTATTCTTCAAGCCTTTAAAAAAAAAAAAAAAGAATTTATCAATACTTAAAAATACAGAAACATGCACACATTTTTTCCCTAACAATGTTAAAATAATAATTTTTAAAGTAGATAAAATTTATTGGGTACTAGCAATGTCATTACTTTAAAAATGTTTTTGTCTTTCTGTGGAGTGTTGTCATCATGAAATTTTAAAAATTTAATTACTTAGTCCACAAATTACCTTCATCAGTATGTTTCATTCAAAATACAGTGTTTGCCTTCTGTCAAAATAGAGTATCTAACATAAACATAGTTTTGCTTCCTAATGTGGACTTCCAGAAGATGATTCCTAATGTGGATTTACAAAAGAAATGATCCCGTTGGCAGTGTTGATTACTGCCTCAATCTTTGGGGTAATCTTGGCCCCATGAAAATTTCTAGTGGCAAAATTTTCTTCCTTCCTACTCTGTAGGTACTTTAGGCAGCAGTGGTCTCTGGACTTATTGAAAACTTTTATCTCACTTCTCCAACTAAAAAATAGCGTTACAGGGCTTCCCTGGTGGTGCAGTGGTTGAGAGTCCGCCTGCCGATGCAGGGGACACGGGTTCGTGACCCGTTCCGGGAAGATCCCACATGCCGCGGAGCGGCTAGGCCCGTGAGCCGTGGCTGCTGAGCCTGCGCGTCCGGAGCCTGTGCTCCGCAATGGGAGAGGCCACAACAGTGAGAGGCCCACGTACCACAAAAAAAAAAAAAAAATAGTGTTACGCAAAATAAGAAACATGCCACCATAACGGTTAGGTAAATTATGATATACCTACTTGATATTGTTACATTGTACTCATAAACAAAATTTCTCTGATTATAGTATATTGTAATTTTCACATTTGTTGGACTTTATAATCCATAATATTCTGTAAATGATGTTCTGTTCTAAATATGAGAAAAATAGTTTTTTTGTTTGTTTGTTTTTGTTTTTGCGGTACACGGGCCTCTCACTGTTGTGGCCTCTCCCGTTGCAGAGCACAGGCTCCGGATGCGCAGGCTCAGCGGCCATGGCTCATGGGCCCAGCCGCTCCGCGGCATGTGGGATCTTGCCGGAACGGGGCACTAACCCGCGTCCCCTGCATCGGCAGGCAGACTCTCAACCACTGCACCACCAGGGAAGCCCGAAAAATAGTTTTTTATAAAATATAAAAAGACATTAGATGAAAGGGATTTTTAGTTGTACTAGAATGCATTAGGTAAGTTACTTAATATAAAAATATTAATAACATGTAAAATATGCTGTTTGTAGGTTTTTCTCTGATACAGAGAAAGCAGTTAGTTAGCCAGATATCTAACATATAGTAAGGTCTCAATAAATATTAGAGCTCATTAGCACTTATTATTCATACCACAAGTGAAAACGTGATATATAGTAATTTATATTATATTAGGAAAGCTTAGTCTTTTAAAATCAGTTACATCCAAATAGTTTGCTTTTAGTACCTCCTGTTCAGATTCTGGCTCTACAACTTGCTAAATTTCTGTATCTGCAAAATGTGGACAAAATATCTACTTCATAGGGTAATTGTGAAAATTAAGTGAAATAATACATCTAATAAGTTCAGAACAGGGTTTGGTACAAGGTAAATAGATAAATATGTTTGCTATTCCTGTCATTGCCTCACTCTTTGAAGTACGCTAACTAGTGTTCTGTTTGTGCCTTGCCCTGTTTTTTTTTAAATTTTTTTTTTAATTTTTAGAAGACCAAGAAAATCATTTTACATTTACACTGGTGTAAATTTGTAAATCCGTTAACACTCCTCCCCCCTGAAAAAAAAAAAAAAAAGAGAGAGAGTGAGAGATCTTCCCCCAGATTTTGTCTTCTCAACATCCTTCTTTATAAGCTCAGACATCTTTTCAGAGCAGACAAAGCTGTTTGAGGTACGATCGGCAGGAAGAGTAGTTCATTACTGCCTACTTTTCCACCCTAAAGACGTAGTTTATTGATTGCTGTAATTCATAGTATATGCTTACTTAGATAGCTCAATATTTGTTTTTGTCTTAGAATGTAAAGTACTTGGAAGTATTAATACTTAAATGACTACTCATTAGTTGTAAGATTGAATACCTATATTATGGATTACAGAGAAAATTTATGAAGACTAATATAATATGGTTTTTTTGTACTTTTCTTTTTAGTTGGTAGATAAACTTAATACCAATACTGAAATGGAAGAAGTAATGAATGATTACAACATGGTAAGAAAATTTATAAGTATAAGCAATAGATCTACATTGCCTCTAAAACAAAGCATTTATATGTAGAAATAATTTGATAAAACCTTATGTACCTTGGAGATAGGTATTACTCTGATCCTAAATACTACTGTTATAGTTGAGTTCCTTTAGTTGCTCTTTTAAAATTTCTTCCTGTTGGTTGGCTCTCCCAAGTGGATGCTTCAGTGTCTTTCTGCAAGGCTGTGTTTAAACTGGTCTCTCACTAAGCATTAGTTAGGGAGTCCCGTCTACATATATATTAGGTATATTATATACATAATATATATTAGATATATTATATACATAATATATATTATGTATATAATATATCTAATATATATTATGTATATAAATTAGTTTCTATATAAATTAGTGTATATACATACTAATTGTATATAAATTAGTTTGCAATACTTCTGGTTTAACATTTGTGCAAATGGAGCTGAGTACTCAATGAAGAGTTTTATTAGAAAGGGAGAAAATGAATAGTTACCATATGATGCCAGACATAATACTACTTTTGATTAGTAAATGAGAATTTATGTTCAGTGGTCTTGGATTATTTGGTAGAAAACAGTAAAATGATAATTGCTAGCTTAATTGATTATAAATATTTGGAAAAAAATAACATACAACTTATAGCATAGTTTATAATTTATTTATACAATCAAAGACTATTTTATAAAAGCATAGGATTTATAAAATGACTTTTCTAAATTGGGATTCTATTAATAAAAGCAATGATAATGTAGTGAAATTATTCTTAGCTTTAAAACACAGGAGAATTCCCAATTTAAAAACTGTATTTTTAATGCCAAATGTAAAAAAGTAAAATCTTTGTGTTTTCTTAGTTTTTTGGGATGGGTCCAAATTCTAGGCTGAATATGCACAGGTAGAGTCAACTAGGAGTACTCAGGTAAAATCCTAAATGATTGAAGAATGCAACTTGCATTGGGTGTAAATTTAACATATTACTAATCAACTACTGAATACTTAAAAAAATCTTGAAATTCTGTTTACATTAATGAAGTTTACATTAGATTACTTGACAGATCAGTAAACAGTGAATATTTTTGGTGTGAGATTACAGTGCCTGTGAAAAAGACCATTTATTTGTATTTGGTGTTTGTAGTGGTTTGTTAAATGAAGCATACTCTATTTTTTAAAACTTTGCCTGTGGCATTATGATTATTATAATAATCTCTAATTGGTTCATAATCAGAACAACCTTTAAAGAGATAGTTTGGCCTAATGGTAATTTTTATCAATAACTTTTGTGTTAACTCTTTATTCAGCTTAAAGCTCAAAATGATCGAGAAACACAAAGTATGGATATTATATTTACTGAAAGACAAGCGTGAGTACACTCTGTTTAGAAATCAAACAGATTTATAAGTGACTTGTATAAGGTAGTTTAACTTCTGAGCCATTTATTTCTTTACAATTTTGTTAATTGGTTTTCCCTGATGTATTTTTTATTTTAAAAAGTTGAATATTTGCAATACAAATTGTATTGTTTATGTATCTTATCTTCATTCAGAGAAATAAAATTTCTACGTCTTGGAGTTTAAAATCTATGATGGATAAGAACATCTTCATCTCTACCATTTGCAATTTTAACTTGAACTCTTTTTTTTAAAAGATTTGTTTATTATTTATTTATTTTTGGTTGCGTCAGGTCTTTTTTTTTTAACATCTTTATTGGAGTATAATTGCTTTACGATGGTGTGTTAGTTTCTGCTTTATAACAAAGTGAATCAGCTATACATATACATATATCCCGATATCTCCTCCTTCTTGCGTCTCCCTCCCACACTCCCTATCCCACCCCTCTAGGTGGTCACAAAGCACCGAGCTGATCTCCCTGTGCTATGTGGCTGCTTCCCACTAGCTATCTATTTTACATTTGTTAGTGTATATACGTCCATGCCGCTCTCTCACTTCGTCCCAGCTTAATGCGTCGGGTCTTAGTTGCGGCACACGGGATCTTTGTTGAGGCATGCAGGATCTTTCATTGCGGCATGCAGGCTCTTCATTGTGGTGCACAGGCTTCTCTCTAGTTGTGGCATGCAGGTTCCAGAGCACGTGGGCTCTCTAGTTTACGGCACGTGGGCTTTAGTTGAGGCACGTGAGCTCAGTAGTTGTGGCACGCAGGCTTAGTTGCCCCACGGCATGTGGGATATTAGTTCCCCGACCAGGGATCTAACCCTCCCGCCCTGCATTATAAGATGGATTCTTTACCACCGGACCACCAGGGAAGTCCCTAACCTGAGCTTTTTAACTAATTCAAATTATGAGATTTAAGCCCCAGTCTAATGAAATGCACATTATTATTCAGTGGGCTATTTATGTTATTTCATTATTCAATTATTAATTGATAATTAGTTGTTATATTAGTAATCTAATCATAGATGTAGATTATTTGTGCATCTTTATATATAACCTGGTTAAAGACCAAATACCAAGTAACTTTGAGTTTCGTTATAAGGTAAATGTGGCAGTGACAGTAATGATTACAAAGATAATAAATGGATGTAGTGTAGTTATCTTAGCCCATTTGGGCCGCTATAACAAAATACCATAGACTTGGTTACTTATAAACAACAGGAATTTATTGCTCACAGTTCTGGAGGCTGGGAAGTCCAAGATCAAGGCACCAGTATAGTCCTATTCTGGTGAAGGCCCTCTTACTGGTTCATACCTAGCACCTTATCAAGGTATCATCACATGGTGGAAGGGGCTATGGAGGTTTGTGGGATCTCTTTTTTTTTTTTTTTTTCAGTACGGGCCTCTCACGGTTGTGGCCTCTCCCGTTGCGGAGCACAGGCTCCAGACGCACAGGCTCAGCGGCCATGGTTCACGGGCCCAGTCGCTCCGCGGCATGTGGGATCTTCCCAGACTGGGGCACGAACCCATGTCCCCTGCATCGGCAGGTGGACTCTCAACCACTGCGCCCAGGGAAGCCCTGTGGGATCTCTTTTATAAGGGCCCTAATCCCATTCAGGAGGACTCCACCCTTATGACCTAATCACCTCCCAAAGGCCCTAACCTGCTAATACCATTACCTTTGGTGGTTAGGATTTCAACGTATGAATTTTGGAGGGACACAAATATTCAGACAACAGCATTAGTTAACATAATTATTCTTTATCGACTTTTTGATCTTAATTACTGTCTAAAGCAGTGCAAACAGAAGATGAGCTATTTTGTACATACTAATACTGCACACATTTTGTTCCATAAACTTACCAATATCGATTTCCTTGAGAGCAAGGATAATAATTAACCAAAATTATGTAACATCAAACATACTGTCATATTACCTCTGCATGTACAGTAAATATTTGATGAAGAATAGGATTTTAAATATAAGGATGAACTATTTGAAAGATAAATGTAATTTTCTATTGATGAAAAACAAAGGAATCTCATTTTCTCCATCTATCATTTGATGCTACTGTAAAGTGCTATCTTTTTTTTTTTTTGGCTACACTGGGTATTAGTTGCGGCATCTGGGATCTAGTTCCCTGACCAGGGATTGAACTCAGGCCCCCTACATTGGTAGCGCGGAGTCTTAACCACTGGACCACCAGGGAAGTCCCTAAAGTGCTATCTTAAAAATTACAAATATACTGGAAGTCTCTTCCCTTTTACAAAGAAAATTCCATATTCATGGTGACCAAGCACTTACTTGAAAACTTCCTTTTGTTGTTGTTCTGGTTTTAGACCATTTAGCAAATATTTATCATTTACTACATATAAAATACTTTCCTAGGTACCTAAAGAATAAGAAATAATAAGCTATACCCTGTTGAGGACCTTATATAGTTTAGAACATTTAGGTCCTCATTTATTTCATCATTTATCTGAAAAGTTATATGATACCCAGGTCAGATTTATAAATATTATATGTACATGTTTTATAGATATTTTATCCAAAAAGATAACTCCCAGATTATAAATTTAAGAATTTCATAGGTTTTTATGTCTACTTGGTTCATTTGATTAAGGAAAATGTTCTTAAAATAAGGTACTTTGTCCTGAAAATGTCAGCAGTTTCAAAACTTAATATCTGTAGTTTGTAACTAAGGCTGAGTGAAATAGGTTCTACTGACCCTTTAACAGGAAATTTAAATTAATAACAAGTTATTTTTATAAAGTTTATTTTTATATATCACAGGATAGATTTATTTCATGTGTTAATCAGATAGCCAACATCTTAATAACACGAGACTTTATCTTGACTCTGTACATTCAAAGGGAGCAGGAAATGTCATACCTTGAGAAAGCAGGTATAAAAATCTTGTTTTTATTCTCTTCTCTTTTAGTACCACCATTTACTGTGGTATGAGACCATCTAGTTTATTATGGAACACCTATTTTTAATAAATTGGTTATAGTATATAGCTTCAATATGTTACTATGACACCTGTGGCTTTAATTCAGTTTCATGTGCCTGCTTGAACTAATGATTCTCTTCCAATTCTAATGTCTACAGTTTTCTAGTTTGGTGTTAGCTAAAATCATTTATCCGTTAAAAATATATGAAATTATAATTTAAAACCCATTTATTTTTCTTTGTTTAGTCAGATATCTATTGAATACCCAATATTTAATTATAAGAGGCTTTTGAATGTAAGAGATGAAAGGTAGTTTTTGCTCATTCATAATTATATTTCATTTTACTACATTTCTCAAATATGAATATTTACCTCAAATTAAGAAATGATATTTTGGTAAAATGATAGATTATTTAGAAAAAGATGACTTTTATTTTTAAAGTTATCTCACTCTTATAATTGAGATTTAAAACCATAACGTATAATTTACATTATCTGTTAGGAAATATTACACTTAAAACATTTGTATATTTTATTGAAAACATGTTCCTATAAATACAAATACGCATTACAAATGAGTCAGTTCTTTTATTTCACAGGATATATCATCCAAAACAGTTTTTATTTTCCTCAGTAAACATTTGAACTGAATTTACTATTGATATAACCTTAAAAATGACTATTTTTAGGATATAATGTACATCTACATTATTTTTAGTCTCTTTTTTCTAAGAAATTATCAGGTATGTACATGTGTTAAAAACTTTATGTTATAGAGAAATTTCAACATACCCAAAAATTAAATAGTGTATTATATTCCTATATACCCATCTCCATCAGCTTTTATTCAACCCTGCTCCATCCAGACCACTAGACACTGTTGCCTTCCCTGTATAATGATGAAGAAAATTTAAAACCCCATATTATTTAATCCATAAATATATTTCAGTGTTTTAGAGATATTCCTTTCTCTAAAAGATATGAATACTGTATACTAAATTTCCTCACATATGGAAGGTAAAAATGATAGATTTTGTTACAGTTTTTAATGCCACTATTTGCATTAAGTTGTTAAAATTATGATTGTAGCCAATGGATTATAAGGAATTGGCAAATAATTCACTTTAGACTCTTCCTATAATAGTCTCAAGGCCAGTATTCTTTGGACCATTGTTGTCCTATGAGGTATTAGCAGCCATACATCAAAGAAAAGATTTTGTTGTCAAGGAAGTTTGGCAAATTCTTAATATTTCGCTCTTGAAGAGCAGAGAGCAGTTTAGTAAAGCCTTGGGTAGGTCCTGTAGTAAAGAAACTTGTTTGACTTTGTTTAAACCCAGTATTTCCTAGTAATTCTATAGTAGTTTGTCCATGTACCTTTTAATCCCCCACCCTGTAAATACTTCTGAATGTCTCTCTGGAAATTAATGTTCTAGAAGACAATTTGGGAAACATTGCTCTATCTACAGCATGGCAAAGAACTGACCACGGACCAACTGAAGATTCCTCAGCCACAGCACAGAATCATTTGAATAAAAATCTAAAGAGAGGCAGAAATAGGTATTTTAAAAAACAAGATTCATAGATGATTCCCACTTTGGAAGCCACCATATTATTCAATTGTGACAGTCATACATTTTGATGACAGTCTTTCTTTGTAACGAAAATCAAGAGATTTGTGCCTGGACATTGAACCTGTGCTTTAAGTCGCTACTAAATTTTCAGAAATTTAAAAAAATTAAAAAAATTTAAAAAGCATTTTCCAGTTCCATGAATTCATTCTATGGGCATAAAATCAACCTTAGCGTGTTGTCAGTTTAAACTATCTCTGTTCTTCACTTTGACTTGTGATAAAATTCCATAATCTTTATTTCTTTACTGATTCCAATCAGTAAAACTTTAATATGTATTACATCACATATCTGACTAATATGAAAATCTGTTCATTTTAATTAATGAATAATTTACTTTAGGCCTTTTCCTACTGTTATGTATGGTCCCCTGAATACTGCTGAGAATAGTAATGCTAGTATTTTAACTGTTAGCTAACAAGGAGTGGCAGTTACTGTATTTGGACCTACTTGCACAATGCCAATGAGAAGAGCATAATTTTATGATACATATGTGTGTTGCAATTAATATGATGGTCTACTAGCTATAGTTCAGTATGTCATGTATCAAAATCTCCACGTCTAAACTGTGAGTGAGCTGTTAACATTTTTTAAAGAATCAAACATTGAAAGAAATTAATTTTCTTCATGTAATTCATGAGTATCTATGTATTTGTCTTCAATAAACCCATCATCATCTACCACAAATTGACGTAGTTGTTCAAATATTACTATAGTTTCTTCGGAGCTTGTGTCTGGTATCTGTGGAGGAGGACTTGGGTTTCTGGTAAAACTATCTTCATAGGTTTCTGCTTCATGCTCTTCCAGGCGATGATGCTTGTAACTAAGCAGAAAATTATACCATACTGGACATTTGATAGCAATTGAAATGAGGAGTGAAGTCATCAGTACAGTGACTACCACACTGACAAGAAAAGTCCAGCTTTTTCCTTGAGATTCACGTTCTTAAATGGAATACCGAGAAAGAGAGGGTGGGGGTAGTTTTGTTAAATTGACAAAAATAAAATAATCATAATTACATGTCCTAATAACTCCCCAATATTGGTATTAGAAATAAATGTACATAATCTTCTTTAAGCAAAAGTTACTAAAACTGCCAAAAATAAAGATATTTCATAGTGTGGTGAAAGAATACCTTTTTTCAAAATATCTACCTGTCTTTGCAGGTATTGTTTATCCGTTCACCTAGGAACATTATTGATTTATACCTGTTAAGAATTGTGACTTAACTAGTTAATACCAAGACTCAGAGAAGTTAAATATCAATAATTTGCATAACGACATTTGACTGATAGCTAGCAGAGCCTACTTTAGAAACCCAGTGTTTTGTCAGTCTTTTCTTGGGTGGAGGAATTGTTCTTTTACACAGTTTCTAGAAATTTAAAATACAAAAAAATAATGAAAACTATCTCGATTTATTTGGTATGCTATCCTCAGCAATATTATTATTCAAAACCAGTACATTACCTGAATTTCTTGTTAAGTTGTTCAAAAAACTATTAAATGTTGAATTGCTAATGGACTCAAAATGAATGTAAAGATCTTCAGTTATAGATGAAGGAAATTTTGAGTAGCATTCAGCCTTGTAAGGTACTGTTTTGATATTGTAGCACTTCAGTGTATCCGGATAGCTGCACATGGTGATATTCTCATTTTCTAGTAAATTAGAAAGAATAAGATTTATTATGGAAAATAATATTATTATGGTTAATAAATTATTATGGTTAACATTTTATAATTTTTTATCTAGAATTTCTTGACATATTTATCTGTCATCCTTAAAGGTATTATAAAAAAGAAACTGTTGTATTTGCCTAGCAACACAACAAGCGAAATGCCCATTTCTGTTTATGTTATAAATGTAGCTTAAGTGCAGCATCTGTTTATTGTTTAGTTTGTCTGTGTTAGTAATGTAAACATGTTATGATTTAGATTATTGTGAACATCTGGAACATGGCATGTAGTTTAGAAAGTGGATCACCTGTTTTCACCTACTCTCTGACAAGCTATCCTAAGAAAAGGAAGTGCTTTTAAAAATTAGTCTTATATATCGAAACTGCAAACTTAGTATACAAAGTGACAGTTTCATCTCATATATATAGAACATTTAAGTTTCTTTTCTTCTTTTTCTTTTTTTCTGGAGAGGCAGAGGGAGAGCTTGTACTCAGCAATTTCTTTTCAGTGTTTCTTCTTGTTTCCCTTAAACAGGAAGTTTCCTTTTCTTTTAGACATGAAACAAGAGACTTTTCTGGGGTAGAACAATCCAAAATCAATCACATTTTGGTTTTGACTAATTTAAATTATGATTGCTTACCTAGTGTCACATTCGATGTGTTCAACCAGTTTTGCAAATTCAGTAGACTACAAGAGCAGTTCCACGAATTTCCGTATAAAATTATGAATTCCAGATGAAACAGTTGTGGTACATCAAGATAGCTTATCAAATTGCCTTGCAGATTCAATAGTATCAGGCTTTTTAGAGGCACAAATATATCATGATTCAGTTGAACTATTTTGTTTTGGCAGAGATATAACTGTTTTAGTTTATCTAAGCCTGTAAAGGCACCCTGTTGAATTATGTGGATGGAGTTTCTACAGATATTTAAAATTTCTAGATTGGAGAGATTACCAAAACTATTATTATGTAGGATAATGACATTATTCTCAATCAAATAGAGCTCGGTGAGTAAAAAATATGTCTGTAGAACTCTTGTATCTGTAACATTCAGAGTAATTTGGTTATAACTGAGGTCAAGTATAGTAACATTTTTATTGATATTTGCTGGAATCAAAGCATAATTCTTTGCAGTGAAATTACATTTGACTTCCTAAAAAGAAAATTAGAAATGCATTAATAAGGAAAAATGCTAGCAGAATTTCCCAAATTTTCATATGCAGGCAATTAGACATTAGAAGGAAATACTTTTAGAAAAAAATCTACTATCTAATCTTTTTTTTTTTTTTTTTTTTTTTTTTGCGGCACGTGGGCCTCTCACTGTCGCGGCCTCTCCCGTCGCAGAGCACAGGCTCCCGACGCGCAGGCCCAGCGGCCATGGCCCACGGGCGCAGCCGCTCCGCGGCACGCGGGATCATCCCGGACCGGGGCACGAACCCGCGGCCCCCGCATCGGCAGGCGGACTCCCAACCACTGCGCCACCAGGGAAGCCCTACTATCTAATCTTTTTATGTTAAAATATGAAAAAGGTAAAGCAAATACTTTTTTTTTTTATTGGGATGGAATGTTGAAGATTAAGGAATTCTGATATATATAATTGAGGAAGGAGATTGTAGTTTGTCATACAAGTATCTTCCAACTGTTATTAAATAATCATTACAGAAAGAAAATATTGGTATATTACCATTTATATATGTGGAAATAAATGGTAAATAATAATTCTGTTAACTTATTTAGTATTTCAGTGTGCAAGATTGACATTTATAAAGAGAAAATAATGTAAAAATGTAATTTTTAAAAATCAGAGCTACCAGCACTACATCTAGGACTATTAAATAATTAAGAAACAATATTCAATATATATCTCTATAGGGTTAACAGCTCAAAATTTGGTGTTTTAAAAGAAAATATCTTGTAACAGAAATTGAGCCATGTGTTGAATTTAAAGAGTCAGGCAACAGGAAGAAGTGCTTTCCTTATGTGGATAGAAATCCAAAGAAATAGTTCTTGTTTTGACTGTTTTTGTAGTTGAAATGTCCCCCAATAATAATAATAATGTAACAACAGCAATTTCCCTCATAAATACGTGGTTTTTTAAAAAGTTTCCTACATTTTAAAGTGTTTTTTATGTCTTAACTAATCTCCGGTTTTGTAGTGAAATTTTACGTATTTCTCCTTTTGTCAGCTTTTAAAGAACTCAGTTTTTTAAAAAATGAAGACCGCTTTTGTCAAATTAGAATCTGGCTCAGAGATCACATGTTTTGAATATACACAGCTAACTAAAGAGTTTGTTTTGATAGCTTGCTTTTTTTCTTCTTTCTTTTATTGCCTTCAATATTTTACTAAATCTACACAAAGTGTACCTTTGAAAATATTTTCACTAGCTTGATTGTAAAAACTTACGGTTTTAGACGTCTGGCTTTCGTCTGATAACAATAGCATGGAGAGTGGCCAAAACAAGATTGTGATGCTTGTGATTTTCATATTGCAAGCCTGACAGAAAAGAGAGTATTTATATCTCATTAGGAGACTAGAACATTAGAGATTTTTTAGGACATTTTGATTTCCATTTTTCTCCTTTTAAATCTATTTTTTCTTAAAATATATAAAATATGAAACAAGTAAATATCCCTTCACCCTCCCTGCACTCTAATCTTAAAAAACTGGAAAGCTCCTGGGGAGAATGAAAGACAGTAATTTTCAGGGTGTCTTTTTAGTTCCTAGATCTAGTGAAAGGAACTTTAAAACAATTGAAGTGGTTGTACATTTTAAAATTTTAATATATGTGCACAAAAGCAAGTCCAGAAGGATATATATTTATGTATATATACACGTTTAAGTATATGCTTATATTGCTACTTCTTGATTTTTCAATTTTAGGCATTATCTATTGATACTATCCTTTGACTTAACACTTTGGGAGATGAGAGTCCTCAGCTTTCTTTCAAACACTCCCTACCTTCATCTTCAATGCATCAAATATATACTTACTGTCTCTTTACTCTCCGAGCATAGTCACTTGTAATTTTGGTTAGATGAGTACTCAGTGTTTATCTATCAGGAATGTATAAAGCTGTCAATGACTGAGCCCTGTTAACAGGATTATTATTCTGTTCCTGCACACTGTTTTTCCTCTAATTAATTGTCCTGGTTTTCTTTTCATGTGCGTAGGGTTTGTTTTTTTTTCTCACTAATTTATACCCAAACTCTCCCTAGCAAATCTCTCAATAGTTTATGTATATTAGATAGTTTAATTTGTTTCATTTGCTTGAAGAAGTCTCTCCCAGAGCCTGCTGCCATGCTCTGATCTAGATGAGCTGATCACTAGGCCCTCTACACAGCCGTTGACTTCCACTCTCCTTCCACCCTCATTGTAAAGACTCCCTTTTGCCCTTGTTACTGGATTCCTGTTTTCTAGAATGCCCTGTCTTGGATTACTGCCTTTTTTCCATGGAGCTTCCTGCAGGAGCTTCCTGAGAAGGTCCATAGAAGAGAATTTTTTTTAGACCGTGAAAGATATTTTGGCTAGAAATAGAACTCTAAGTAGGAAATAATTTTCCCTCAAAAGGTTGATGGCATTGCCCCATTGTCTTTGGGTTTCTAGTATAGTCGTCCCTCAGTATCAGCAGGGGATTGGTTTCAGGAGTCCCTACAGATACCAAGTCTGTAGATGTTCAAGTCCCTTACATAAAATGGTGCAATATAATGAATACAGTGGACCCTTCGTATCCACGGGTTTTACATCTGTGGATTCAACCAACCATGACTGCATTACTGTTGAGAACTGTGATGCTATGCCGTTCTAATTCTTTATCCTTTTATGTAACTTGCCGTTTCTTAACCCCAAAGCTTTTTCTTTGCTCTACAATATTATATAGTTAGAGGTGTACAGTATAGTGATTCACAATTTTTAAAGGTTATACTCCATTTATAGTTACTATAAAACATTGGCTATATTCTCTGAGTTGTACAATATAGCCTTAATATGGATATTCTGAAATTTCATGATCCTTTATGAGAGTCTGTTTTCATTCATGAAACTGGGCAGTTGGTGGGCACTTTCAATCTGGAAACAATGGGAAATTTTCTGAATTATTTGATTGATGGTATTGATAATTTTCTTCCTTATTAAAAAAAAAAAAAAACCTCACTTCTCTTTCTAGAACCCCCTTAATTAGGTGTTGGATCTCCTGGTATGATTTTCTAATTTTTTATGTTTACTCTTCCACATTTCATCTCTGTGTGTTTTTGCTCTGCTTTCTGGAATTTTATCATCAAACTCTTCTGTTAAAGTTTTCTTTTTCCTGTCATCTTCTTAATTCTGAAAATTATTTTTTTAGTATACTGTGGTATGAATATATTTTTCCTTGTTTTTTTCTTGTATCTCTTGTTTTCTTTTTCCTTGAATAGCCTTTGTACTCTCAAGTTGTGTTTTTCCAGTTTATTTTTATAAGTATCCTTTATGTTAGAGGTTTTCTTTTGAACTTTGTGTATCTGTTAATATTTGGTTTAGGACTTACATATAAGAGTGGGAAACAAAAAAGCTGATGGGAAACTGTGCGTTTCTGTGGTTCTTATTAACTTCGCTATTATTTTTTGGCCACGCCGCACGGCCTTTGGGGTCTTAGTTCCCTGACCAAGGATCGAACCCGTGCCCCCTGCAGTGGAAGCGTGGAGTCCTCACCACTGGACCACCAGGGAATTCCCAGTTCTTATTAACTTTAGATCTTACTGTAGAGTGACCTTAATGGACTGTTTTTTGGGGGAATCCCTAAATGTCATTATCTTTAGATTGTTTCTCTTGGGCTGCTTGGATTCCCCAAAATGACATTTTTAATCTGCCTGAAAAGGTGAGGCCAAGTAGCCAGCATTCTGAGAGCTCAGTGGTGGAAAAGTTGAGTTTACCTCAGTAATTAGTATGTAAACTTTAACTTACTCTCCCTGCTTTTGGCATAACGTCCCTGCAGTCACTTGTGCCTAGTGCCCAGATTCTGTTTGTTTTATTTTCCCCAGAGCAAAAAACCAGAAGCCTTATTTTTCTGCTTAGGTAGGAGAGGACCTTTACCTGGCTGGGCAGTGTCAGGGAGAAAGACTTTCAACTATGTTTCAGCCCCTCCTTTTCTACTTCTAGAATATCTGGTACTGCCAATCTCTGGGCCGTCTAGGGATTCTGCAGTGTAAATCAAGTGGCTTCTCAGCTTTCCCCACTGCTGGCTTGGGAGAATTTTGCTTTCCCAGTCAGTTTGCCCTTAACTGTTAGCTTTCTAGTTTCTAGATTTTATTGCTGTTGTTTCCTCTTCCATTCTTTTTGTCTTTATGAGTTTATATACTTCAAATTACCTTTTATTTTCATTTTAGTAGGGTTTTGGACAGGAGTCAAAGTTAGTGGGTACATTCAACATGCCATGTTTAACTGGAAACTGCCATTTATTTCAGTAATTCTTCTTACTATAAGTACTTTCCATTTAGTCATTTTATTCATGACCTTGATATTTCTTATTTTTATTTCTGTTTTGTTAAAGTCAACATTAGAAACTGCTGCATAAAGCAACTATTCTCCAATAAAAATTAATTTTAAAAAGATCTATTAAAAAATAAATAAATAGGGACTTCCCTGGCGGTCCTGTGGTTAAGACTTGGCCTTCCAATGCAGGGGAGTGCAGGTTCAATCCCTGGTCAGGGTGCTAAGATTCCACATGCCTTGCGGCCAAAATACCAAAACAGAAGCAATATTGTAACAAATTCAATAAAGACTTTAAAAAATGGTCCACATCAAAAATAAATAAATAAATAAGAAATAAATAAGAAACTGCTGCAAACAAATGATCTGTTTGAAATGATATGAATATGTCCTGTTACTATCATCCTTAGTGGTTAAAATTTAGTCTTTTGAGCCTTCTTATTGCACTTGTTACAATTAGTTGCTTATGATTTTTTAGGAAAATTTATTCCACGAGAGCAGGAGGTAAGAAACTACTCGGTGAGCAAGATTCATTTCAAGTTACTAAAGTCTGTTGCTGCATTAGCAATGAGGAATTTATTGTTATGCGAGTACTGGTCTATTCTAGTTAACTTCCTCATTGCCTTCCATCTGATGATCTGTTTATGTTTATTCCTTTTCCACTTTCTTTCTTTACATGGCTAAATCAAAGTTTGAAGAAAAAGCCACTGTTCTCCTAGATTTTACAATTTGAACGTAGATCATAATAGAATCCCTTTTAGAGTCAGAAATGAATTCAAGCTATCACTTATTCCAGACCACTGCCTACAAAAGGAGATCCCTAAATCATAAATAAAAGGTAGTTTACCCGTATTTAGTGATTTCTAGGAATAAGTATGCAACCTCTCCAGTGGCTTGTTTCAGTATTTCTCAATGGTGTAGTGAAATTCTTCCTGATGTTTTTGTAGGATGCCCATGTGGGTAGGGCAGTGGTAAGGAAAAAGAGCTTCTTTTTTTTCCCCAAGAAATAAATAGGATAAGGGTGAATAAAGGAAGCAGATAGGCTACAAAGAAAATTAACTAAACTAAAGAGTTTATGTGGAATAGAAGCAGCCGGAGAAGGTAATGGAGGTCAGGTGGGACTGTGAGACTTGTGAAAATGGAGACAGAGGATTGTCTTGTATTTATTATCTTTATCATCTGTGTTATACTAATAATTGTCTTCTCCAGTATGCTAAAGTGAATAAAATCGTAAGGGTTGGAAAAGGAATCTTTTTTTTCCTTCTATTTGATAAATTTTAGAGTTAGAAACTATATATACTTAGAGCTTAAGATAGATTCTGTACAAGAAAGCAGTCAATAGAGCTAAACCATTATTAGGTCTAAAGCTATGAAATGCATTGATTGAGCCACAAGGTCCATGGGGCTTTTCGTATATTTGTACATGTTTTGAGAGGGGAAAGATTGAAAGATGGGGTAGGTGGATGTTGACCATCACAACACTAAATAGACAAATCCTTAGACAGCAACATTTGCTAGCTTTATTGGCTATCTTGAAGACATCAGATTGGCAGAATAACTAGCCAATAGTTTATGCAGAAATTGTTCTTGAGTCAGTTTACCCTATTTAAAAAGTTGATTTAAAAGGAAACAGCTATTATTGCCTTTTTCTCCCTTTGGATTTTTTTTTTCAATTTGATATTTATTTTGAAATGATATGTGGGCTTGAGTTTAGTGATTAAAAAATAGAGAATAAATGGAATATCAGTTTTTTTAAAAACTATCTTACAAAATTAAGTGCCCTTTTATATAGCCTATAACCTATATTACAGAAAAAAAGATTTTCACAAAAGGAAATGGTAGATATTAAAAAAGAAACAATGTTCTTCTTAGTGCAGTTTCAAGTACAAGTTTCTGAGAAGTTTTTGGTCATGTACTTTATATGACTATTATATACCATGAAATAAAAAGATATTGCAATTATTTTGGTTTTGTTAAATAAAATGTATATACTGTAATACAGTTTTGTCAATAAATATTTTAGATATTTATACCAGAATTCAATGTATTTGGAGTAAGGTATTAATAATTCACAATTAACTTATCTCTTGTAATTTTATAGAACTTCTTTTTTCAAACTTAAAAACTTTTATAATGGAAACTATCAAGAAAAAACCTCTAAGTAGGATAGTCATTGCGTAGTTTCAACAATTATCACCTGGTAGTCAGTCTTTTTTCATCTTACAAATTTGTTTTTAAGTTAATATCACTTCAAAATGCTCTGTGATTAACATATTTCAAAATAAAAAGATCTTATAAATTTGATTGGTTAGATGAAACCTTTTTTTTTCAAAAGAAAAATAATTAATTTTTATTACGTTTTCAATTTATTTGGGAAAGATTTTTTGGCCATGTCCCAGGTTTATATTTCTAAGGTAGATCTTGTGAAAAATACAATCATATTTTCTTCTCTTTCATCACTTATTAGAGACAGAGATTTTTGTATAGACTTAACAAGTTTAAATATGATTTCAAAAAATTCATCAGTAATCACTGAACCTATAAATATATAGGATCTTACCTTTCCTTTTTTCTTTTGTCTCCGAGACTGGTGTGTAAGGAATGTACTCTCTTTCTTCCACACCATTAAAAAAAAAAAAGTATGTCATATGATTTTATTTCACTTTGTTTTAACCTTTGTACCGTGAACAGGTGGAAAAAACAAAAAAGAAAGAAACTAGACTTTCTTAGCAAAAGATTGACTAGAAGAATAATTTCTTAAAGTCATCTTTGACTTTTTCAGTGTAACAACTAAGGTGGCTTGCTTAACCTTTGTGATTCTTAATCTTAGAAAATTTAAATATTAACAAATTTACTTTGTGAGTTAAAGTATATAATATTGAGAATGCATAATTTGAAAGATACATTGCTAAAGTGATTTAAGTGTTGATCCTAAAGGTACTTTGTATTTTGAAAGATTCAAGTTGAAAAGGTTCCACCAAGTTTTGTATTCCACTGAGTTTCAACTTTGTTGTTTACTCATTTTTATGACACCATCATTGGTAGTTTTACTGCCAAGTTATAACAGGAGCAGACTGCTCAAAGCATCAAAAGACCCGACCCTTGGCCATTACGTGACCTTCAAAAAAATCAGTTACCTTCCTTGTGCTTCCTTGTGTAACTTCCCCTCTGTAAAATGGAATACTTTACAACATTAGTTCCCATCTAACTGTAGTAGATACATCAGGCAAAAACATGGTTAAGATTCATTGTTGGTGGTAAATAATCATGGAGTTCAGAATGAGTTAGATCTAACAAACTTCTCTGGGCTTCAGTATCCTTAATCTGTGAAACAAAGAGATTGAAATAGATGATCTTTTCTGTTTGAAATTTCTATGAGCACATGAATATACCCGTGTAAATTGTAACAGCAGCAGACACATTTTTTTATGCTATAGTAATTGAGGCTCAAAGTGAAGACATCACTTCCTGTTCAATAATGAGACAAAAATAAATAGAAATTCCAGGTTGTCTGTTTCATTATGTTCATCTTTTATTTGGTTATTATGAGATGCTCTCTGTAGGAAAATTTCTGAGTTTAGATTATCTTATTCTGGTACTAGGGTATGAATGTGTAAAGTGTGTGGAGGATAGATATGTGGATCTATGAGGCTCAGTTAGTGATTATGAAAACTGTTAACGATATCTACATTTGAAAGAGATTGAATAGAATAATTATATTTTGAAACTCAAAGTAGAAATTTATGATATTGAGACTGAGAATTTATCTTCAAGCAAGCTTTTTATATGTAAATCTTGAAGTATTTACATGATAACTAGCATCTTACCTCTATTTTTTTCAGAATTTTTCTTTACCCTATTTATAATTGATCTTGCATAGGTAATAAGTGGCACATCACTGGTATTTCTTGTGATAAAGATTGATAAAGATTTTTATCATAAAGATGATAAATCATCTTATCATAAAGATGATAAAGATTGTTATTGTTTGTAATTAATTTCATTACTACTACTTACATGATTAGACTTATAATGTTCCTGTTATATTTTCAAGGAAATTAGCTTATTATTTTGCAGTGCTAAAGTACAGTTGATAATTTGTGAAATATCAATACCAGTTTTAATTAAAGCAGTAGATAAAAGGGAATTTAAGCAAAATATATTAATCTAAAGCTATGAATTTTTTAATCAAATTGCACTGTTGGTCTTCCTACTCCCCAGTGCAGTCAGAGCTGTGTTACTTGAGATGATTTATGTGGTAAACTTCCATGCGAGATTTCATTTGGTCAAAGAATTCTATAGCTAAAAGATACTTGAAAACCACTATTCTAAAATTTAACTCTCTTGTTTGTCTTGAGGGTATGATAACAAAAAGTGCAAATACATTCTCATATGTATAAGACTTTAAGGATTTTCTGTGATAATCTTTGTGGTTTTTTATAAGAAAGTAAAGTGGAGAATAAGGAAATACAAGGATTTGGAGATTGAGAAGAGAAAGATGTAAAATAAGTCTGTGTTTTGTTTTGTTATAAATTTATTTGTTTTTGGCTGCGTTGGGTCTTCGTTGCTGCGCGCGGGCTTTCTCTGGTTGCGGTGAGCTGGGACTCCTCTTTGTTGCGGTGAGCAGGCTTCTTATTGCGGTGGCTTCTCTTGCTGCGGAGCATGGACTCTAGGCATGCGGACTTCAGTATTTGTGGCACATGGGCTCAGTAGTTGTTTCTCGTGGGCTCTAGAGCGCAGGCTCAGTAGTTGTGGCTCACGGGCTTAGTTGCTCTGCAGCATGTGGGATCTTCCTGGACCAGGGATTGAACCCGTGTACCCTGCATTGGCAGGCGGATTCTTAACCCCTGCACCACCAGGGAAGTCCCAATAAGTCTGTGTTGATGGGGCCAAATTTTGTACAGGTCAAATAAAATTTGTGTGTACATCTATAAGGACTTTTAGATCACAAACTATGGTTAAATAACTTTTACGTATCCTACTTAATTGAGACTGAGTAAAGTTAATTGATTTTTCCCCTCAATATTGTAAGAGGAATATTGTATACCTTTGATTTCAGGAAGGAAAAACAAATTAGAAGTGTAGAAGAAGAAACTGAACAGGAAAAACAAGCAGCAGAGGGCATTATCAAAAATATGCCTCCAGAAAAACAAGTCAAGTATATAGAAATGAAAACCATGAATGAGAAATTGTTGCAGGTAATACTAATTACTACTCTGTGCTGGGCATATAGCAGTCTTACTACTAAAAAGGTGATCTGAAGGTGGGCAGCATTGGCATCCCTTGAGAGCTTGACTAAACCTACTAATCAGAGTCTTCATTTTAACAAGATGATTCATATGGACATTTGAATTTAGGAAGCACTGATCTAGAAAATTTCGTTTTCTTATGTTGCATAATGACCTAGCTTTTACTCTGTTATTCAGTTCTATGCATCATTCATTTTTGCAGGTCATAAAGATACATGAAACAATTGTTTTTTAATGAACTTTTAATGAAAACATTAAAAGTCCTCATACACCAGAGCCATATGGATATTTACTTTCTTTCCTTTTCTTCCTGCCTAATAAACAGCAAGTCGTTTACTTGCTATGCCCTTAATTTGAACAGCTTTTGTCCCCTAATTATGGTGTTTAAATAAGAAATTTGGATGTCTACTGAGGGATTATTGAGAATCCTCTCAACATTCAGTCATGGTGGTGACTCAGGTTTACAAGGTAGTGCCCTTTCATGTCCAGATATCCCTTAACCAGTTAACAGAGAATTAGTCCCCACAAATGCCAATAATGAATGTAGTTCTAGTTTCTCAGATAATCCTTTATTGAAAATTTAATATAACTTTTTATGTTAGACAGAATTTATAACATATAATGAAACATTGATGAAAGAATATTATAAAAATACCAAAATATTATCAAAATATAGCTAATATCACACAGGGGTGTTTGAATGGGTCTGGTTGGCCCTTGAACACCTTGGGTGTTAGGCACACTGACCCCTGTGCAGTTTAAGTCTGTGTATAATTTATAGTTGACCCTCAGTATCGAAGGTTCCACATCCACGGATTAAACCATCCATGGATTGAGTAGTACTGTAGTACGTATTTCTTGAAAAAAATCCACATGTCATTGGACTCATGCAGCTCAAACGTGTCTTATTCAGGGGTCAACTATAAACAGTTCAAGGGACTTATCCCTAAGAGTGAGCCATATAAATGGCTACAGGTCTTGGCCTTAAAAGAAAATAGGCAAAAGATATGGAAACATGGTTAAAAAGACAAATAAAAATTATAACTTTAAACAGTATCATCATTAATTTGAAGTATTCTGATATTTGATATTCTCAGAATACAGTGATGATTCACTGTGAAAAGTTCTGGCTCCCTTTAAAAAGCTCATAAGTATTTTAAAAGGTTGATCTTGGCAAGGTTTTTAGTAATAATGAAATAAATTGGCAAAAATAGAAATAATGAATGTTAATAAATTCTAGTCAGATTTTAAGATATGGGTTGAAAACATTTACAAAATTTACTTTGTCACATCTGTATTTAAAATGTTGAGAAGGAAATTATTCTTAATGTAATTTGCCTATATATTTGATTTTTTTCCTTCTTCTTAGGAATTAGATACACTTCAGCAACAACTAGATTCACTGAACATGAAAAAAGAGAGCTTGGAATCTGTAAGTAAAAATCAAGTAAAAGTTTTCATATTACTCAGCTACAAAAGAAAATTCAGTTAAATATATTAATGGAACTCATTCAGGTACATATTTATTTAGTAGTTTACTAATAGAAATGTAATAATTTTTTTTCCTATTCAGGACTGCAAATATCTTAGTTTAGTAAGAAAGCAGATTCAGTTATTGAGTACCTACCCTGTACAAAAATCATTCTGCCTTGCTGAGGCACACAAAATCTAATGGTAATTTAAAACTACCAATGGCAGTTTTCACAGAACTAGAACAAAAAATTTCACAATGTATGGAAACACAAAAGACCCCGAATAGCCAAAGCAATCTTGAGAAAGAAAAACAGAGCTGGAGGAATCAGGCTCCCTGACTTCAGACTATACTACAAAGCTACAGTAATCAAGACAGTATGGTACTGGCACAAAAGCAGAAATATAGATCAATGGAACAGGATAGAAAGCCCAGAGATAAATCCACGCACATATGGTCACCTTATCTTTGATAAAGGAGGCAAGAATATACAATGGAGAAAAGACATCCTCTTCAATAAGTGCTGCTGGGAAAACTGGACAGCAACATGTAAAAGAATGAAGTTAGAACACTTCCTAACAGCATACACAAAGATAAACTCAAAATGGATTAAAGACCTAAATGTAAGGCCAGACACTATAAAACTGTTAGAGGAAAACATAGGCAGAGCACTCTGTGACATAAATCACAGCAAAATCCTTTTTGACCCACGTCCTAGAGAAATGGAAAAAAACCCCAAAAATAAACAAGTGGGACCTAATGCAACTTAAAAGCTTTTGCACAGCAAAGGAAACCATAAACAAGAAGAAAAGACAACCCTCAGAATGGGAGAAAATATTTGCAAACGAAGCAACTGACAAAGGATTAATCTCCAAACTATACAAGCAGCTCATGCACCTCAATATCAAGAAAACAAACAACCCAATCCAAAAATGGGCAGAAGACCTAAATAGACATTTCTCCAAAGAAGATATACAGATTGCCGACAAACACATGAAAGGATGCTCAACATCACTAATCATTAGAGAAATGCAAATCAAAACTGCAATGAGGTATCACCTCACACCGGTCAGAATGGCCATCATCAAAAAACCTACAAACAGTAAATGCTGGAGAGGGTGTGGAGAAAAAGACACCCTCTTGCACTGTTGGTGGGAATGTAAATTGATAACAGCCACTATGGAGAACAGTATGGAGGTTCCTTAAAAAACAAAAAATAGAACTACCATCTGACCCAGCAATCCCACTACTGGGCACATACCCTGAGAAAACCATAATTCAAAAAGAGTCATGTACCACAATATTCATTGTAGCACTATTTACAATAGCCAGGTCATGGAAGCAACCTAAGTGTCCATTGACAGACAAATGGATAAAGAAGATGTGGCATATATATACAATAGAATGTTGCTCAGCCATAAAAAGAAATGAAATTGATGTATTTGTAGTGAGGTGGATGGACCTAGAGCCTGTCGTACAGAGTGAAGTAAGTCAGAAAGAGAAAAACAAATACCGTATGCTAACACATATATATGGAATCTAAAAAAAAAAAAAATGGTTCTGATGAACCTAGGGGCAGGACAGGAATAAAGACGCAGACTAGAGAATGGACTTGAGGACACAAGGAGGGGGAAGGGTAAGCTGGGACGAAGTGAGAGAGTAACACTGACATACATACACTACCAAATGTAAAATAGATAGCTAGTGGGAAGCAGCCACATAGCACAGGGAGATCAGCTCGGTGCTTTGCGACCACCTAGACGGGTGGGATAGGGAGAGTGGGAGGGAGACGCAAGAGGGAGGGGATATGGGGATATATATATACGTATAGCTTATTCACTTTGCTATATAGCAGAAACTAACACAACATTGTAAAGCAATTATACGCCAATAAAGATGTTAAAAAAAAAACATACAAGCAAGAGACTAAAGACAAGTGAAGATGGAGAAGTCAGTTCATTACTTTAAAGATGTAAAAGCTTGCATTTGTTTTATTATTTATTTAAAGCATTTTTAAAGTCATAAAACATGTTTTCTATTAAAAAATTGAATAAGATGAAAGTAAAAATGCCTATTTATTTTCCCTCTTTCCAGACAGAACTGCTCTCACATTTTCTCACATTTATTGAGTGATTACTATGTGCTTTTTTTTTTTTTTTTTTTTTGCGGTACGCGGGCCTCTCACCGCTGTGGCCTCTCCCGCCGCGGAGCACAGGCTCCGGACACGCAGGCCCGGCGGCCATGGCCCACGGGCCCAGCCGCTCCGCGGCACGTGGGATCCTCCCGAACCGGGGCACGAACCCATGTCCTCTGCATCGGCAGGCGGACTCTCAACCACTGCACCACCAGGGAAGCCCACTATGTGCTTTTTTTGAGCTCTTTACATATGTCACCAGCATTGTCATTTTATCTTCACAGCAATCCTATAATCCTACCTTCATTTTACTGTTGAGAAAAACCTTAAGTGGGATGTACACTGGATATGCTGTCTGCAGCTTTTTTTTTTTAACCTAACATTCTCTCTTGAACGTCTATTCATGTCAGCTCTTAAGATATCTTTCTCATTTTTTGAAATTACTGCATTGTATTACATTGTATGACTATATATAGCACAGCCTTGTAGATGACTAGATTGTTTATATTGATAGTTTTTTGAGATTATAAAACAATGCTGTAGTGAAAACACATTTTATGCAAAGTTACTACGAGTGTATCTTAAGATAAATTTCTTGCATTGGGTCAGAAGGTACAAACTTCTAAAACGTTGTAACATTGCCAAATTGCCTTCCAAAAAAGTTCCATTTTCTACTCCTAATCTCAATGTATGAGAGTGCCTATTTCCCCCGTACTCATTAACAGCTGCATTATCCATCCACCTTTTCCATTTTTACTAGTTTAATAGTTTAAAATTAGTATCTTGTTTTAATTTTCATTTATTTATACAAAAAGTTGAGTATCTCTTTATATATTTGTTGGCCAATGCATTCTTTTTCTGCAAACTACCTTCCCACTGTCTGTACATCAAATCTTGCCTGCCTTTCTTGATTTCCTATGTATTCAGGTAGCTATAACGATGATAGGATTAGTAACAATTGTAAATTGACATGATTGCTTTCACCTAGCTTGCAAAAGAAATAAACCATGAGTATTTTGTAATCATTCTTTTGGAAATTTGCTATTGAAAAAACTAGTTTGCTTAAAAATATTAAGATGATTTTCTATATCCAGTTGTCTACATGTGGGTACACAGAATTTTTATTTTCTTTGATCTCTATGGTAATAAAAATATGCTTCAAGGAATAAGGACTGCATTTATATAGTATTAATACAGCCAGCTTTCAGAATTCCTCACTATCTTTTTTTAGGGTGTGTAGGAGAGAGTTAGGTCTTATTTCATTGGCAGATTTAGTTTCCACAGGAAGAGGTGTAGGGTATAACCTTGGAATTAGTGTTTCTATTGATGCCACTCTACTTTGGCATTAGTACATGTATGCCTAAAATTACATGAATTTAAAAAAACTTACAGTATTCTCAAATGAAGAAAATGTAGATCCTAATTCTGTTTAACTTTAGCTGGATTCCTTTGTGGGTCTTTTTGGGGGGGGGGGAAGATTTGTTCTTCAAGATAACATTATGTCAAATATCAGTCAAGTAGTGTTTATTGCATATCTGCTGTATGCTCCCTACTGTGCTAAGTATTGCTGATTCAGTTCATAGGAGTGTGAAAAAAATCAGGTGAAAGATCAACAAGAGCTTGAGTCTTCAGGAGTGGTTTTATCAAGATGCAATGATGAACATGTCTATAGGTGGTTAAGCAAAAGAGACGGGGGAGGTACTATGAAAAGGGATACATCAAAATGTCTGCATTTTTTCTATCGGTATTTTATTATCATGCCTTTTCACCTGAAGCTAATACATTACTTAAGCTGTGTATATAACCCTTTGCCTATGGACTTTCAAACATTTCCTCTTGTTCACTTTTTCCTGTTTTTAAGATTCCTTCTCTTTTGCTTTCGAAAAGGAGGAGGTCTCCCCTCTTAAAAATCTTGTTCATACTGTGAGCCTGTTTTCAGATATCATTAACTTTTTTTTCGTGATTAACTTTTATTTTTGTTAACTTAGAAAAATTATTTAGATATCAGATCATCAGTTTTCTCATCTGTAAAACAGAGATGATAGTACTATCTTACAGAGTTGCTTTGAGTGTTAGAGATAGTATATAAAAAATATGAAGTATAGTGCCTGGCACAGAATACGTGCTCAATAAATAACAGCTTCAAATGTCATTTTCATCATCATCATCACCACTACCACCAACATCCCTAGCTCTTTTGGTTATCTTTTAAAATTATCACATCCCTTATTTTCTCTTTGTGAACAGTAGAACAGTGGTGAATACATGATAATTTTACTACTCGTGTCTATTAGTTTCCTAGTGCTGCTGTAATAAAGTATCACAAACTGGGTGACATAAAACAACAGAAATTTCTTGTAGTTCTGGAGGCTAAAAGTCTAAAATCAAAGACTTGCTTCTTTTGGGACACTAGGTGGAATCCTTCCTTGCCTCTTCCTAGCTTCTGGTGCTGGCTGTCGATCCTTGGCATTTGTTCCTTGACTTGTAGCTACATCACTCCATTCTTTGCCTGTATCATCAAATGGCATTCTCCTCGGGTGTCTCTGCTTTTTATCTCTTCTCTTCTAATAAAGAGCAGTTAATACTGGATTAAGGTCCACTTTAATGACCTCAAGATAATCTTAACTTGATTAAATCTGCACAGACTCCATTTCAAATTAGGTCATGTTCACAGGTGCTGGAGATTAGGACTTCAGCATACATTTTTGAGGGATATAGTTCAACCCATAAACTTGTAGGAAAGCATATATATGATCTATTCAGGGGAAAATATCTTCCCTCTAGCGATCAGTTCCTTGGACTTTGGATTGGGTTTTGTGGTTAAAGTTATACATACATCGTTACATTTTCTTTATTATCTTCCCATTAGTAGAGATGTCTTTATCTTTGTTTAGGTCTTATATTTAGAAAATAAACTAAAGCTACCACCTTCTTGTGAACCTTAGACTGAAAATTGCTTATGAAAATATATAGGGATTTATTTTTATTCTTCAATGTTTAGAAACGTACTTTGTAGCATTATTGAGTACTCTAGGTTCTTGATATCTCTATTTAAAGATGCTGGTAGTTTAAATTTGTCCTTAGTCTTATAAACTGAAAACTATTTGAATAGTTTTTGATAAAATACTAAAATTATTTTAATTCTCTTCAGGAAATAGCACACTCACAGGTAAAACAGGAGGCTGTATTGTTGCATGAAAAACTTTATGAGTTGGAGTCCCATCGAGATCAAATGATTGCGGAAGACAAAAGCATGGGATCCCCAATGGAAGAGAGAGAGAGATTACTTAAGCAGGTAGGAAAAACAAACATATGTATTTTAATATGTCAGGATTTGGTAAATGTATCAGTCTGTTTTATTTAAGGCATATGAATTGAACAGAAAACTAATAAGTTTATTTTCTTAAAAAACAGTGAAAAGTGAACTCCATCTAAATTAATATGAACTGCTTGACTAAGAAGATCTAGGTAAAAGTCATTTCTCAAATAAACTTTTTTTTTTTTTTGCTTAAATCCTAATTTTATATGGTCTTCATGCATATTTTGGTCATTTTTTCATGTTTTGGATCCTTATAAGAAAAACTTGAAACTCTTCTTAATGATCAGTAAATAATTAATCTTATTGAAGATGTATTCCATTATTTGTTTTGGGCCTCATATTTAGAAAATGAAGTGCCCCAAGGCTGACAACTTTGTGTGGTTATTTCTATCAGTGCCACCATGAAGTGAATGGAATTAAAATGTCCTGTGAAATCACAGTATGTCACCATGTTATGTCAGATGTGTTCAGTAGCTTTCTTACTATCCCAAGACTGGCTTTAATTTATCCTATTGTTTATCCTGAGACACCCTAAATATACAGCCCTTAGGAGCCTATATATTTGGGAGCACCTCTAGTCAGGAACCTACAAATGGGACTCCTTTGTGGTCTTAGATTGAATCCAGTGGGTTTGTAGGAGGCTTAGGGATCAACTCAGGAGCTATTTAAGTGTTAGAATCATTCTAGAAAGGTATCAAAATCTAGAATCTCTGAAGTTCCTTGGAAAGAGATCATTGAAGGCAGGGGACGAAGAGTGTGATCTTGGTATAGAATTTCTAGATAGAATACAGAATGACTAGTTAAATTTGAATTTCAGATAAGCAGTGAATAATCTTTTAGAATAAGTATACACGTAAGGACAATAAGTGTATTCCAAATACATACCACAAAAGTTATTCATTGTTTTTCTGAAATTCAGATGTAACGAGGATTGCTAAATCTGGCAGCCCTGCCGTGTGCATGGGTTGGGGGTGGGGAGCAGGGGGAGCAGGGCGGGGGAGACAGGCTCAAAAATCCTAGATATTTATGTAAATTGATCCAGGCCTGAAGATGTGTTAACTTCTTGGTGCCACGTGGATAGGTATGGATATTTATCAGTCACCACTCTTCCTTTGAGGAGGAAAGAAAAATATGTGAATAGTTCCCTAATGATGTTCCTTTTAACTTCAAAGGCTGAATTTCAAGAAATAAGTTTAAAGCGACTAGATTTGATATTTTAGTACACACCCTAGAAGGAAAATCTCTTTAAGATAGCCTAACAATGAGTAATTCTTTAAATTCTGTTTTCTCTTCATGCCTTTATAGGTTAAAGAAGATAATCAGGAAATAGCCAGCATGGAGCGACAGTAAGTACTTTTACACTAGGACATTTTACATTCATTTCTCATCTTTTAAATTGCATTCTAAATGTGTAAGAGGTGCATATTGTTACAGTCATTTTTTCTGTGATTCACACTGACAATAATGATGCAGCTTTCAGTTTTATTTATAGCTTTAAATAATTCTTTGAATGTTTAGTTAAGAGCCATTACATAGTATAATTGCTTTTTAAAAACAGCTTTATTGTGATATAATACATACCGTACAATTCACATTTAAAGTGTACAATTCAGAGTTTTTTATTATATTCACAGAGTTGTGCAACCACCACCTCAGTCAATTTCAGAACAGTTCAGTCACTCCAATAGAAACCCATATCCCTTAACCATCACACCTCTTATCCCCCATTCCCAGCCCTAAGCAACCACTGTACCTTATGTCTGTGTAGATTGGCCTGTTCTGGACATTTCATATAAATGAAAGCATACAATATATGGTCCTATGTGGCTGGATTCTTACACTTAGCATAATGTTTTCAGGGTTCATCTGTGTTGTAGCATGTATCAGTATTTCATTTCTTTTTATTGCCAAATAATATCCCATTTGTGTGGCTATACCGTATTTATTTATCCATTCATTAATTGATGGACATTTGGATTGTTTCTGTTTTTTGGCTGTGATGGATCATGCTGGTATTAACAATCGTGTACATGTTTTTGTGTGTGGACATATATATTTTCACTTCTCTTGGGTATTTACCTAGGAGTGGAATTTACCTAGGAGTGCTGGTTCATACGGTAACTCTATATTTAACTTTTTGAGGAGGTGCCAGACTATTTTCCAATGCAGCTGCACCATTTTACATTTTCACCAGCAGTGTATAAGTGTTCCAGTTTCTCCATGACCTCACCAACACTTGTTATTATCTGTCATTTTTGATTACTGTGTAGCCATCTTAGTAGGTGTGAAGTGGTATCATTGATTTGCATTTTCCTGATGATTAATGAATGATCTTAAACTCTTTTTCCTGTACTTATTGGTCATATATATATATTCTTTGGAGAAATGTCTATTCACATTCTCTGCCCATTTTTAAAATTTATTTATTTTTTATAGATCATTATTGGAGTATAATTGCTTCACAATAGTGTGTTAGTTTCTGTTGTACAAAAAAGTGAATCAGCCATATGCATACATATATCCCCACATCCCCTCCCTCTGGAGCCTCCCTCCCACCCTCCTTATTCCACCCCTCTAGGTCATCGCAAAGCACCAAGCTGATCTCCCTGTGTTTTTGCCCATTTTTAAATTGGGTTATTTATTGTTTTATTATTGAATTGTAAGAGCTCTTTATATATTCTAAATAAAGTCTCTTATCAGATAAATGATTTGCAAAAGTTTTCTTCCATTATTTGGGTTTTCTTTTCACTTTCTTTATGGTGTCCTTTGAAGCACAAAAGTTTAAAATTTTTTTTAAGACTTTATTTTTTAAATAAATTTATTTATTTTATTTATTTATTTTTGGCTGCATTGAGTCTTCATTGCTGTGCACGGGCTTTCTGTAGTTGCAGCGAGCGGGGGCTACTCTTTGTTGCGGTGCCCGGGCTCCTCATTGCAGTGACTTCTCTTGTTGCGGAGCATGGGCTCTAGGTGTACAGGCTTCAGTAGTTGTGGCTCATGGGCTCTAGAGTGCAGGCTCAGTAGTTGTGGTGCACAGGCTTATTTGTTCTGCGGCATGTGGGATCTTCCCAGACCAGAGGTCAAACCTGTATCCTCTGCACTGGCAGGCGGATTCTTAACCACTGCGCCACCAGGGAAGTCCCAGTAGTTTTAAATTTTGATTATATCTGGTTTATTTATTTTTTTCTTTTGTCATCTGTGCTTTTGGTGTCATATGTAAGAAACCAATGCCTAGTTCAATTTCTTGAAGATTTATGCTTATGTTTTTTTATTTGTGTTTTATAGTTTAGTTCTTATGTTTAGATCTATGACCCACTTTTAGTTAACTTTTGTGTATGGTATGAGGTAGGAGTCCAGTTTTATTCTTTTGCTTGTGTATATCCAGTTATTCCAGCACCATTTGTTGAAATATTCTTTTAAGAAATATTATTTAACGTTCTTTCTCTGTTTAATTGTTTTGGCACCTTTGTCAAAAATCAGTTGTATATAGATACAGGGTCTTATTCCTAGACTCACAATTCTATTCCATTGTCTATCCTTAAAAGGATATGTCTATCCTTATTCCAGTATCATACTGTCTTGATTACTATAGCTTTGTAATAAGTACAACTGCTTTTGTTAAAATTTTAACCCATATAATCTTCTCTCAATGGTAAATTTTCTCTTATTTTCTAACTTTTAAGACAAACTTGCTAACTTAGTTTAGTTTATATAAACCTACAAAAAGAAGGTTGCTAAAGATTTTTTATTTTCTTAATATCACAAGTAAAGCTCAAAAGATGGCTGGCAGGGAAGGGCCTACTTTTGAAGTCAGGCAAGCCAGCATTCTCAGAACACACTTTGTACTCTAAATGCGAATCATGAAAAAAGATTTTTCTCTCAAATTTATAGTATTGTCCTCAGAATAAAGCATATTATTTATTGATATTGTTTCTGCAGATTCAAAAAGATGTAAGATTTCATAACATCGTCACTAAATGTTTTTACTGAATATCTAAATTGTCTGCCATAAATTCATTAAATAATATTTTCAACAGGTTAACAGATATAAAAGAAAAAATAAATCAGCTTAATGAAGAAATTAGACAACTTGACATGGATTTAGAAGAACACCAAGGTAATTTTTTAAATATTTTTATGAAGTATAATATAGATACATAGCAGTATTTATACAGTATTAACTTGGGCCTCAGGGACTGTTTACCTGGGGTTTATTATTTAATTCTTTGTGATATCACTAAGTTTAACTATTAAAATACTAAACTATTAAAATATTTAGTAGTAGTAACTAAATATTATAGTTAGTATTGAATCATTTAAGTAATATTTTAAATGTTATAGTTAGTATTGAATTTTAATAGTAACTAAATATTTTAATAGTAACTAAATATTATAGTTAGTGTTGAACTATTTAAGCCAACTAAAAACTTATATAACTTAAAATGGTTATATAATGGCAAGAATTTATTTTGTTTTGCAAACAAATTTTTTTGTTAATTGGGATGTAGTTGTTTTACAATGTTGTGTTAGTTTCTACTGTACAGCGAAGTGGAGTAGAGTTCCCTGTGCTATACAGCAAGAAATTTTCTTTTTTTTTTTTTTGCCGTACGCGGGCCTCTCACCGTTGCGGCCTCTCCCATTGCTGAGCACAGGCTCCGGACGCGCAGGCTCAGCGGTCATGGCTCACGGGCCCAGCTGCTCTGTGGCATGTGGGATCCTCCCGGACCAGGGCACGAACCCGTGTCCCCTGCATCGGCAGGCGAACTCTCAACCACTGCGCCACCAGGGAAGCCCAAGAAATTTTTTTTTTTTAATCAAGTAAAATGGTTTAAAGTTGCTCACAGATTTCTAAGTTATACTTCTTCAATATTGTCAGCTATTAACTGGCGTAAGTGGTAGAGTTACAGGGGAGTGAGGATCACATCACAAATATCAAAAAATTTTGGAAGAATTATTCGCTAGGGGACCCACTAATGTGGTGGCAAGTACTGATTATTCCAGTCCTCTCTCAGCTTTCCCCAGCAGTGGGATTTGAAGTGCCAAGGCAGGGACCAGAGCACTTCGGGTGGAAATGCTGTGGTGGGGATTTGGGAGCTACAGTGTATGTGTGGTTGAGGGAAGAGTTTGGGCATCACAGGTTCCTAACCAACTTGTCTCTAACAAGGGAGGAAAAGCTGGGTTACTATGGCACTTTAATCACAGATTAACTGCAAGCCAGTTAATATGCTATTGGATTATCAAGAGTTGACTATATATTCTTATGAGTTAGGTATTCTATTGTAAATAATATGCCTATTATGGCTAAAGAAACATTCATAGCAGGGGAAAAGGGTGTTCTTTTCCTAAATTAATTTTTTATTTCAATTTTAATGCAGTGTATTAGTTTTATTTATACATTTTATTGACTTATGAATAATAGCATTAGCTACTATTAATTGATTACTTACCTGGACTGGTTACTTTGTGATCTTTGCAGGAACACTTTGAAGGCTTCTAACCTCTTTTATGCTTGTTGAAACTCAGAGAAGTTAACTCAAATTCTCACAGCTAGTAAGGGGTAAAGTCTAGATATAAATCAAGTTCTCTTTGACCCCAGTGTTAGCTCTATTGCCCAAACCTAATCTTGGCTTTCTGATATGAAGTGCTGTATTTGTGAAATAAAAATATTCTTGTGAAATGCTTACAGTCTTATTTACATGTGGCTACATGTAAACAAGACATCTAAAATCAGACAAACTTTAAGTCCTGGTTGTTAGGTAAGTAAACTTATCTGAGCTTTCATTTTCTCATCTGCAAAATGAATATAGTGGTCCTACCTCACTAAGATTTACAAATAGTAAGTGGTACACATGGCAAGGTAGGTTCACAATAAATTGTTACTAAGGTCATGTTGTTTTCTTTATTAAATTATTTTATTGCTTTTAATTTATGTAGATCTAGTATATAGATTTTCTTTGTTAATAAATTATTCTGAGAAATCTGATAATGTTCTTGATTTCAGATGCTTTATGGGATACATTTTAAATAATATTCCTCCTTCTAAATTTAAATTTCTAGCAGAATTCTATTTATTTTTCCAGTAAAATAACTCATTTGGGGATAACAATTTATTTTATTTTATTTTTACATCTTTATTGGAGTATAATTGCTTTACAATGGTGTGTTAGTTTCTGCTTTATAACAAAGTGAATCAGTAATACTTATACATATGTTGCCATATCTCTTCCCTTTTGCGTCTCCCTCCCTCCCACCCTCCCTATCCCACCCCTCTAGGTGGTCACAAAGCACCAAGCTGATCTCCCTGTGCTATGCAGCTGCTTCCCACTAGCTATCTGTTTTACGTTTGGTAGCGTATATATGTCCATGCCACTCTCTCGCTTTGTCACAGCTTACCCTTCCCCCTCCCCATATCCTCAAGTCCATTCTCTAGTAGGTCTGTGTTTTTAAACTATTTATTATTAATTGCTAGTTCTACGATAAATAGAATGCTTTGAATTGTAGCTTCCCTTTTCCTTTTTGTTTTCGTAAATTCTTTGTCCTTTTTTTTTTTTTTTTTTTTCTGGCCGCACCACAGCTTGCGGGCTCTCAGTTCCCAGACCAGGGATCGAATCGGTTCCTCCTGCAGTGGAAGTGAGGAGCCCTAACCACTGGACCACCAGGGAATTACCTGTCCTTTTTGATTAATGTAGAAAGGCAAAATCTATAATGTAATGTAATAGTAGCAAAAAAGCATATATATATATGTACATATAAAAATATATGTGATATCTAAATATTATGTATTGTATGTTCACATATATATCAATGCATTAGTTTTTTGTTCTACTACACTTTGATCATCCTGGATTACTGGGGTTTTTATTAGAAGGTCACTTGTTAGTTCAGGACCTCATTATTTCTTTCCTGAACTATTTCAGTAGTCTACTAACTGGTCCCCGACCTCCAATCTTGCTCCCTGTCAGATTCATCCACCACAGTGTTGCCAGAGTGACTTATGTGAAATGTGATTCTGTATCATTCTCCACTTAACAGTGGTTCCCCGTGACCTACAAGATAAAGTTTAAGAATCTTTGTGTGGCATTCTAGTCCCTCCATAATCTGACCTGTACATTGTCAGCCTCCTCTCCTACCCCTCAGCATCTCTATCCTTACATTCTAAGAAGAATAATAATAATCTACCAGTGGTACCTCACACCTCACCCTCTTATCATACGTCAAAGGATTGTTTCATGCTCAATCCTTTGCTCCTATTATTTGTTCCCTTTTCTTGAATGTTCTTTTCTCTGTTACTTACTTTACTAACTTCTCATTTTTTAAGATCTAGCTCAGGTATCCTTTCATATCCAACATAGTAACCCTAATTTCTCTCCCTGACCTATTTCTGGGCTGGGCTAAGTGAGTGATCCCCTCTGTTATCAGAACACACGGCATAAATGTATTGACCACATTACTTTACCACTTTCTACTTAGGTGTTTGTCTTTTCCCTTAAGCTCTACATCCTCCAGGACAGGGACTGTGTCTTGTTCACTTTGGTAACCTCTTTCATCAACACAATGCCTGGGAAAATAAACATTCAATAAGTCTTTGTGGAATGAATTAAACAGTCCTGTATTTTATTTATATATTTTTAAATAATTATTATTTTTTTGGGCTGCACCGTGCAGCTTGTGGGATTTTTAGTTCCCCATTCAGGGACTGAACCCTGGCCCTCAGCAGTGAGAGCATGGAGTCCTAACAGCTGGACAGCCAGGGAATTCCCAGTCCTGTATTTTAGAAGGGAAGGATTTGTAGAATGAATTAAAGGTGAGAGTTGGGCTCTAGTCACTTCTTTGGGCCCTCTAGTTCTTAAGATATACAAATGCACTCTTATCTACAGAGAGAGCTTGATTAGTTAGCAACAGTTTTATTACTTTTTAGAGGATTCCTACCTTCGATTTATGATTTCCAGTAAAGAGGTGGATTCTTATCTACATCTGCATTCTCAGCAGTCCCTTGACTCAAGATTGTGGATAATCTGCTCCTTAAGATGTGGAGGATTATCAAGTTATTTTGACTTTCTGGTCCATACTTATCTCTGCCCCCAGCTTTATTCCTTCTGGCCATTTTATTAATTTCTTAGATGTTACCTGGTTTCTTCCATTTATGGCACCTGTGTGTAATCCAGCTAGGCCACCTTTTGCCTTGTAGGGGTTCTGGTTAACATAACACTTAAACTGTAAATGTGTTTGTACATGTCTGACTTTGTTAGTACTTGCTCCAACCCTTCAGTTTTCAAATAAACTTTTAAAAGGTTTGCATAATTCATTCTAAATTTAAAGGCATCCTTTGATACTGGTTTAGGTACAGTTATGTTCTCTGCTAGATATTAATGGTGGTCCTGTAATCCAACAGCTTCTTCAAGTTCATCATATTTTTGCACTTTTTAAGTCCTTAAAGTTACAATTTGCTAAAAGTTACATTGTCTCAAAGTTAACTTAATAAAATCAATTAACAGTTATTTGGCTATTCTACAAAAATCTTCGTTATTCCTAGATGCTGAGTTATCAGTTTCTGTGACAATCTGGATAATGCAGAAAAAATCCTCATAATACACTTACACTTTTGACCAATTCTAGATGGGCTTCTTTGCTCTCAAATCTTTATTTAGTCTTTGTAAGTAATTTTTAAAGGAGAAATAGCCTGATAACAGAGAATTTTCATTATAATAAGATGTCATTACTTTTTTAAACTGCTGGGGGATTTAATCCTATTATGTTAAGTATTTGTTAGACTTCACCCCTACAGTAGTTTTACTTTATTGCTGGATCAGGTAACTTTGTTATATGGGTTCTAAAAAATACTTAGGTTTAAATATGTGTACTATCCTATATTTTAGCAGGAAAGGAATTGTTACTATTTTTGCTAACTAGAAGCAGTGAGAAATAGCTCTATTGAAAGTTGTTTATATGGTCAGAATTCGGCTACAATCTGCATCATTATTAAAGCAGAGCACTATTGGCAGATGCCATGCTACTTTTCAGAAAAGCCTGATTTCTCCTGGAATCCATCCTGATTTCTCCTTTCTCAAGCTGAAGTGCCAACCATTAAATATTTACTTAATTGTTGCTTTTTAAAAT